ATTTGTACGTTCAGCTAGGTGAAATGATTAATTAATTAATGCTTTCATATTCCTTCCATTAGCCTATATCTTCCGATGCAGTTGATAGGACTAGAAATGTTTTTTTTCGTTTTGTACGATATTCTATATTATGCCGTACTCATCACACGATTATATGCAGCATCTTCCAGTATGTCAGCACAACTTTTAATTTTGTGCGAATGTTTGCGTCGTCGTCCTAGCCGTCATATTTGAAACAATCAGTTGACTGCCTAAGTGCTTCTAATAACTGCTCATTGTTTAAGAGAAGAAATAGTCTTCCTTGATGCACATAGTTAATTACAATGGATCAAGCACGACTTTGTATAGAAACGTATGTAAGTATAACATGCGCAGGTACATCAATATTGTTGCTGATGGTTGATTAGACCTTCTTTCCGTTCCTAGACTCCTAGAATCAACAACAACTACGATGACAACACCGCAGATTGTGGTCTACAACAAATCATTAGCGTCGCTCTATAGTCAGATGCGGACCGCGTTAGACTACCACTGCCAAAGCGATTACAGGTAGTGAGTCCTTAAATTTGTACCATTTGATCCGCTGTTCTAGTTATTTATTACTAGCTACATTAGCAGCGAGTAGAAGTTCCGATAGGAGGAGCACACTCATTATAAGTGCTACCGGTAATAATCCTGTAACCAATAGCTGTAGCGGCATAATTTTTAGATAAATGTTTGTCATTTGCAATGCTATTGCTGCGATTCGATTTTATTTTCGAACTGCTCCAGCGACTGGCAGCGTCATCGGCCCCCCACCCCCCCACCCCCACCCGCATCACCCCCCATCTACAACAACAGCATCAGCAACAATGACGTCCAAAAAACAAAGGGGGGACGTGGGATAATTGCATTTGTTTAAAGAGCTCGCTGCCGTCGACGTTACCATATGTCTCGCTATTATTAGCAGAAGCAAAATAATTTTAGCTACGTTAGCAGTCGGCAGCAGTACGCGCCTTGTACGCTGGTTGTTTCTGTTAAGCTCGTGCTGTGTGGTTATAACGACCTACGGTGGCAGCAGCAGCAGACGCAGCATTATCACGGCCGTTGTCACCAACTTTAGCATCGCTCTGACGGTCTGACTACTAGTCTTCTGACCAGATGCATTCACCTTGATGAATATCCATCTATTAGCCACTATTCGTTTCACTGCCGCCACTCCGGTGTTCCCGATCAAGCACACACGGCTGATGCCGCCGCTTGATATTGTTTCCCCAACAGCAGTAATCATATCCCTGAGCCATTTATTATTTTGCAACTTCGATGGATTGGCTTACAATGCCTATCCCTCATTTACCCACGCAAGTTATTTAACAATAACAACGGTAAGTGTAGCATCGCGAAGCCTTTGTTTGTTGGTGTGGTTGCACTTCATTTACGTGCTTATAGACATTGAGCGTTGAGCACGCTCAGTACAATATAGTGCTTCGAAGAAGCAATGTGGCTTCAGTACCGTTCGTGAGCCACTTTCTAGATAGAAGCTAGGGAACTGATGGACGGGCCTAGGAATCGCTCGGGTCGCTAGCGATACACTATACATTTTAACCAGTTCCGCCCTCGTCGTGATTGTTAGCGCCGATCGAAAACTCAATGAGGTTATTTTCATTTCGCAATGGTTGCTAGTGGTGCTAGGTCGGTTAGTGCTACGAGTTTCATCCCTGAAGATAGCTAGACATTACGCCAGGAACTGGCGTTTGGTCTATTTTTTTTTTGTATCTGACGGGTACCTCTAACGTGTACGTATAACATGTTCTCGAAGTGTTCTTTTTGTGGGACCTTCCTGGCGTCCGGCGCCTGCATTTGCTAAGAGTAAGGGGGCACACCTCTGAAGTTGTAGTATGCATATGAAGACGAAATGCGAAATCTCTGTGTAGCCAATTCATTCCAATGGATCTTACGAAAGTCTCTTACGACGATTACGTCTCTTACGAGGCAACCGCGTCGCCCTATTTGCCATCGAGGTACATTGCGACCAATACAACTGTTAGCACAACAGTCGCTCCCTCGTACGGCATTAAGCCATCATATCCAATCTGCACAATTAGATTGTTTTAGCCCGCATTTTATTCAACCGTTTGACGCTGTCAGCTATAGTAGCAATAGTAAAATGGCATGCAGATCAAGATGCTAGGTGGGCGTATGACTTTTAGCTGCACAAAAACTACTGTTAGAAGAAGACTACATAAAGACTACAAGTCCATCCTGTAAAATAGTCGAAAGGCCGTGCACGGACGAGGTTTGCTTGTCCTGGTTCTTCATTTGTCGTTGTAGCCCCTTTCTATAGCGTAATGCACATCGACAGAAGCTTCGCACCATTTTTCTTTGTCGTTCGCTGACGCGTTTTATGGCGCCCTTATGTACGTTTCCGCCTCAAAACCTGACAGCAGCGTGAAAATTCAGTTTGCAGGTTTTGCATTGGTGAAGATCAACAGCAGTAACTCAGAATGGCAAAAAACGACGTCTTACTGGTCGATGATACCAATGGCCTTTTTCCACGTCGTTCTGATCGCGCGGCGCCGATAGCAAAAACGAGAACAATAGTCGTAGAATTTGTGCGCTAAATAAATAGATAGAAAGTGGCCAGTAAAGCTCAAATCGAACGAAATCAACTATTTATTTATGTATGCTATAATCGAACCCCGCTACAAACACAAGCATCGACTCACGCTCAGTACGATGGTATAGTTGGCCGTAGTCAGGGCAGAGCTTTATTTGGCATGTTTGTTTGTTTGTTTGCTCGCTAGATAACTGTGCAGCAAAAGCTGTATTAGTGTATTTTCTGCCTGTCGATGGGACTAGTGGCTTGCCTGTCGCGCTCAAGTCGCGGCAAAAGGGTACAAGAAAATGAGATGGAAAAGGGCTCTGTAGAACAAAGCGTCTGAGGCAAACGTGAACGGCGGTGGTTTCTGCTAGTCGACCGTCGACGCAAGGCAAACCCCCATACGAATCACTTCTAGTACGCGTTGAGTAACGATTATAGTGATACAGGTAGTGCACGCGTGAAGGGCTTGAGAGGCAGAGGGAGATAGATAGAGAGAGAGAATGTGCGAACACAATGAAGAACTGCAGAAGCTGCCGAACGCTGAATGTCGACCATCCGTTCGTCAGCAGCGGTGGATACGGCAGTGATGACGCTATGGCACTGCTGTTGCTGCTATTTCTTCCCGTCATGATGACGTCGTCGACGCCGACGACGAAATGGGCAACAGACGAAGGCAGTTCATGATGCCGGTAATGATTTGACCAGCGGGGCCTTTACCACGGTCTGTTGCCAACGTATTGACGTTGGTGTTGGCGGCGGTGGCGACGACAAAACAGCAGCACATTGAACGAAACGTCCATACCCCCCCCCCCCCCTAATTTCTTCCCTTTCCTTGCTGTTCGCCCGCATCCTCAGGCTCCCCTGCGAACGACACTGGGAAATGCGGGGGCTAGTTTGGCGCCATTTTTGTTGAGCAGTACTGCGTCGTTCTTGGCGCCGTTTCAGAGCCCGAACAATTGGCGGATGACTGAGCGTCTGACTATTATCGGTGACAGCGACCGTTACTAACTGCGCTTGAACGTATTACAACGGCTGGTTCAATAAAAAAAAATGCGGGCAGGAAAGGCAGAGGGGCAATAACAGTAAGAAAACGTGGTCGTCATCTATCGTTTGTTTGATATTGCTAGCGCTACTATTAGCAATAGTACTGCTATCACTACCGCGTTACTGGCGTTACACAATGATTGAATGTGTACGTGCTATATAATCGAAGATTTTCTAATGCTGTTTATTTGTAGCGGGTAATACGTAATCGCTCCTGGTGGTGGCCGATTATGCAGTCTAGAGAGGACCGACAGGCAATGATTCGTTGATTTCGCTAGGAACTTGCTCTGTTCTGTGTGCAATAATGCGATGATTTTTGCAGATTCATACTATTGCATACGCAGCGTCAGCACGTGTCGAAACACGGTCCCTGTACAAATCTGCTGGGATATTAGTGTTTTTACAAGAGATAAAAGCTTGAAGAAAAGGTTATTTTCATAAAAGACATTTCGTATATTCTGTGCACAGGAAATACGACGCGCAGCTAGTCGAAACGCTGAGAAGAGGCTCCAAGCCGATTTTTCTAACTGCATTTTCTTATATGTTCTTTAAGACGATGTCGTTATTCCGATTTCCTTTTTTTTTACACACACACACACACACACACACACACACACATATCAAGCCTCAGTTTCTGCATCTGATAAAATAAATGGCGTATATAAATCGAAAATAATGTATCTTCCAGACAGAATAAAGTCTACGAGCTTATGTGCATCGCAGACGATGCTTGCTTACGGTAAAAGGTGAGGAAAGCCGTCCACGATGTGAGCTAGATTACATTTTTCGTGAAGCTAAATTAAGTGACACTATTATTAATATTAGTACAATTTAAACGCTTATAACAACCGTGCAGCGTTGGTAACAGTTGGGTAAACAATTTACTGAGGACGACAGTTTTATTTTTGTTAATAAAATATCCATTTGTCTAGTGGAGTGTCGAAGTGTCTTCCGGGATCAGTTAGTAAGAAACAGTCGGTTCCGATGCTGAACAAGGCCTCATCCGACGGGCTGATCGCATAGAAGGATTATGCAGCTTCTGGCAATGGCAAAAAACCATAGTTGTACGTAGCAAAGCAGAAACATTTTAGGTTGAACTTCGCGTCGATAACTAATGCGAATAGCTGGCTAAAAGCGGTAACAGAAGGTCGCATTTGGTAAAAGGGGTTTTACTGGGGTTCGTTTCTATACATGGCTTAAGTGCATACTTTAACTTAGAGATCTAGCCTAAATGCTTCGGGCAAGTTTCAATAAAACTAAAACCGTTTCATAAACGGTTCAAGTTCGGCTCAAACTAGCTTGAATGATCCAAGCCAGCGCCCGTTAGCTGTTGCTTCAGAGGAATGTAGCCTCCACTATATCATAGGTTGAGTAGTAGTGCATAGACGCTTAAGACAATCTCGGATGCTTTTGCCAGAGATAACCTACTGAAGTCTGTAGTTACCTATCGACATTGTGCTGGCGGCAACCCATTTTAGGTCAAAAGAATAGAAGTCTAAATCAAATGCTTTATAATGGTCCTACGGGTAAGTCTCTTACTCGGAGAAAAACGAATACAAGCGTGTCCCAGCGATGGTCGTGCGCGTCGCAACATGAGCGGTTTTCGCAGAAAATTAAGTTAACAGGACGCTACTAACTAGAGCAGCAAAAGGTCGCCAGATGAAAGATTGATATATTAAAGATTGCTAGCTTTAACAAATAGAAACAAAGTGATTATTTTCGTGATAACGTCCCAAACGATAAACGGGAACGCTAGAACATGTGAGTATCAAACAAAAAAAAATGGCTATTGCCAGATGATAATGATGTCGTACCTACTTTTCGCCGTGTTACGATAGCATCTTTGGTGTGGTATACTTTAGCCTGCTTTTCGAATATGAAACGCATCAAACGCGATAGAGGAAGCTATATTACTGAAGCGCGCAGTGTCATGAAGCCGAGAACTGCAACGAAAAATGTTTCGTTGTTTTTGGGTTTTTTTGTATTAACAAACGCCAGCAATAACACGCACACACTGTGTTACGGCGGAGTTTGTTGTACTAACACAAGCTGCATTAAGATAAGGTACGGCCGAGTAGTGGTAAATGCTAGGGGCATTCAGTTCACGCAGAACAGAACAGAACAGCTAAACCAAGTTTCCATAGTTAGACGCGAAGCATCACAATTTCGCTCATCAACATTGCTATCTGTCATAATACGTACTAGGAAAAATTGCGAATCACTCAATATATAGCCCGAAAAAGCCGTTTTCAATGCTAGAATATCGGCTGTACGCAGATGTAAACTTTATATAAGTATGTAGTCTATTGCTGATTCTACGGCGTCTCCGAAAGATCAGGCGTATTGGGTGATAGATCATTAACACAGGCATAAATATTTGTTCTACGTTCCGCCTCATGATCGGAAGTTTGACACCATAGAAACGTATGGGATGCTTGCCGATCCACTATCATATATCCCTAACTCTATGATGAAGCGCGCGTAACTAGGGTATCGAAAAATAAAAGTCGCGCTATCGTTGAATATGAACCCTCTGATTTGTTGGCTCAATTAAAGACGGGTTGAACGCTTTGGTCCGCACATATTTGTGGTGACCTAAACCAGTGGTCGTAGCTTTTACCAGCACCAGGCTCTATATATATAATTGTGGTTGTACCGCCTAGACAGCGAACCGATTGAACCAGCCTGCCGTATTTGCGGTTGTTTATGTAGTAGATAGTTTGATTATATATCTAAACACAGAGACACACTTTCTCTCATGTATAATACTAACTGTATAAAGGAAAATTTGTAGTGTTTGACAACTGTCGTCGGAATTAACAGGTACTTTTTAAACTTATTACTTTTAGACAGCTTTTGCTTAAGATTGATCTAGCAAGGCTAAAGCGACGCCAGTCAACTCATTATATTGCGGGGCTCAGTTATTTTTTGGAAACCTACAAATATATTTGGTACGTATTTATACGGTGAGGTTTTTTAGACGGAAATCTATGCACGGAAATTATTTTACAGCATATTCCTATTCGAATAAACAGCTGACCTTAAGCGTCAAGAAATTGGTGTCTACAAAGTTTTTTTATAGAAGAAAAAAGATCTAAAAGCTAGAGTCAACCGCGCTACCTATCTTGCCTTTGACTTTTTCCACTCGAATGCTTAGTTGGAATCAGAAACACCTAGTCGTTAATGATCGCCGAGACCTTTGCGACTTTCCCAGCTCGGTCTACCTCTACCAAAAAGCGTGAGCATCTGTCTTCTTTCCTGCAATTAATGCCGTACATGGTTTTCTTTCGAAGTTACGACGACCTCGTCAATGGTCCTGCAGAAGATTGCTAACAATGAAGGAGAGGCTTCGTAGAATCCATGCAATTTTGTCCTATCATGCCGAGTTTACTGATGAATTGAAGGCACATTTTCTGCAACACGATTAATTCCATAGAAAGTATTTATAAATACGGCATTGCCGAATAGAAGGAACGCGAACTAATTGGTATCATCGTTATTTTTTGTTGCAGGTCGTCATGTAAATTTGTCATCACTCGTCGCCCGTGAGCTTCCGCCAGCCAATGTGAAAGTGCAAAACGGACATTAATTTTCTTGAACCCAGCGCGAGGTCGTGTTGCTCCCTAGTAATGATGGCGGCGCCAACAAGCGGTGTGGCGGCCCCCAGGGGCCAGCGGCATATCCGTGCTCATTCTGAAGACTTTATCCAGAACAGCAAATTTTCGTTCATCCATAACAACAACTCCAGGTGGGTTCATTAAAAAAACTTAAGAAAATTTAAACAAAATACACACGTAACGTAATAGCTTACTTAGTCAGATGGTAGCTACGCCACACTCAATTCTGCTAAGTAGTTCATCCAGGTTAGTGGATTTTGGGCTCGTGAAACAGCTTTCCTGCGACACACCCTGTGAAAGACGTAACTAAAAAAAATCACATGACACATGATCCCTTATTCAACGGAGCAGGCTGTTAGATTCGTGACTGAGGACCTAGTTTGACCTAAGACATCCGCAGTGTTGCTTTCGACGAGACAAATTTCTTGTAGTAGCTAGCTATCCACATTGCTCGGTTGTCCTATTGTCCTAGCTATAAACAGCATTCATAAAAGGAAGCATTCATAATCATTGTAAGCACGTCCGGTCAAACGGGCCCTATACTTGTACATTGTCAAAAAGATGTTTCGATTATGCGGAACCCATGTTACGTGTCCGCGCTATTGTATACTGTAGTGCTGCAAGCGAATCGGAGGTAATTTCCGCAGCCTGGAGGATCTTGAATCTGAATAAGTGGGGTCCGTGAAAGACGATTGCGAAGTAGCGCCGAAAATTCTCCAACAAACATTGGGCTTTGATGATCCCGAATTTTCCCATTTATCAGTATGAACGACAGCTCGCAGGCGTCAACGTGCCAAGTCATTTGTAGTCCATCTAAACGGTAATATTCGGAATTATAATTAATCATTGTGCCGTTTGCATAGATTTTGGGAGTAAGAACCGCAGAATGAGACACGCGCCTTTAGTTAAGATAGCAAATAGAATTCCACACAATTCTAAATAATTTTTCAATGATGCTTAGCTCAATCAAACAACATTTTACACTGCTTTCTCAGTGAAGTTAGTTAGGTACGTCGAAAGCACTTACTTTATTCGTAATTTAGTGGGTATCAATAGAATTTTGACGTCAACCTAGACTAAGTAAAGTGATGCATAGGGTGACTCGGTCTTATCAAGCGACCACAAAGACAAGTTCTGCGGCTATGAGAAAGTACTCATATTGAGTACTTTTTGCTTGTGTATTGAAGATGTAGTATGAAACTATTTTTCTGGTACGATAAGCCAATACTTGTTTTTTTTTTTGAAAATCGGTCAGTGAACTTATGCTAAAAAATAAGTACCACTTCGGTCTGTCAAAGACAAATGCAGAAGAGTAATTTCTTATTTTGAAGGATTGAAGATTTCAAACTGTTCCTGTCTGAATACTAAGTATGAAGTAGTCATATAGTAGTAGTAGTGGTAGATGACTTTCGGTTTCTGAGAAGCTACCTGTCTTGCCAGGTTAAGCTGTTGGACATTGAAACGCTACTCCGACGTTCAGAGCTGGCCAACACTCCGTTCCGTATATAGCTAGGTATCAATATAGTGTGCCAATACAATTTTGATGAAATATCAGTCGTTGCCTTTACAACAATTACAATGTACCTCTGTCTTTTAATGTTGTCCAAAATTGAACTAAACCGTTTTCCAATCGTTGACGATACGACAATAACATACGTAACAATAGGGGGCTATTGTTAGTTGTAGTTAGCTATACGTCCACATTGATCATCATATATTCGGCTTGTACGTTTCTCAATCCCTACGACGTGGAACGACAACAGTCACTGGCATAAACAGTGACGTCTCTCGTCGAATGCTTTCATTAGAAACCATTATTTCCATAATAGATACAGCGGCGCAAACAATTTAACGAGTGCGTTTCGTGTTGACCTCAAGTCAGATGGTCAACCAGCCTGAGCGCACACCATAGAGTTTCCCTCTGCGTAGCAACATTATTTAACAACAACTATTGGGGATGCCAGCTGGGAAAACATAACGAAACAACAAACACCACCGGAACAATGAGAGCTTTTGTAGTATTATGACTCTGGTCCCTTATAGATACTGGATCTCGCGTACGTATGGGCCAGCCCATAGCGCTAAAGCTAGTCGCACCTGCCATTGGCAAGGGCAACACTGTTCATACACGGATGAGGATAGAGCCACGTATGACATTACGTTTTTATTTTACGCCACCCTCCAGTCAACTATAAATTGCCGCTGTTTGTACCTTTGCCAAATATAGTCACTTGTTCGCCTATATGTACATATATATAAAGGGGACATTTGTCTACTATCGTTAATAATGCCGAACCTAGGAGGACGTCGCGTGTGCGTGGCGCGCTGATTTTGATTCGGAAGTAGAATCAACAACGGAGGCTCCGAGTGAATAAAATTGAATACTGAAATAACGAAATACTTGCTCGTTCGTTTGATGAACCATTTCTGCCCAAACTTAATAGATCTGTTAGCCCCAAAAATAACAGCGATAGCTTGAGCTGGTTTTATTCGTTAGTCCTATGAGCACGAACGCCGTATCTCTAGCCCATGGGTTCAAAGTCTAACCCACAATAGAAATTTCTTTCTACATATTTACTCTGCTACTGCTTCTACAGCAAACACAACAGGCTAATGCAGTGCTCATGAAAGATCCCAGTCGGGCGATATTTACTGTCGCTACTGCCTCTACCACCGCCGCCACGTTCTTTGCTCGGGGCGGCCAACCCCCGAGCAACGAAATGATAAAGTGGTCACTTACGACGCTCGAGTCGCCCGGGGGTCTACGTAAATTGCGGTCGTGATGGCCGCATCGCCAAGCGTAGGCCCGAAGGGACCTTTGAATTTTATCTTATCTTGATTTGAGCAGGCAGACTGTGCGTGTAGTGCAGAGCGTGTAAATACCGTCGATATGCAAGCGAATCCTTTCGTATCTTGTCAGTGGCTGTGAAATGGAAAATCTTGATATCTTCTGTTACATCTGTTTATTGAGCCGTACTTAAGTGCTGTCGCGTCTTTAAGGAGGGATATACTGCCCAGTAAGTTTAGTGTTTTTTTGTCTACTTTTAGTCTGTTTACTTGGTGGCATCGTAGCTTTTCTGACCTACATATACTTGGCCTGACGTTAAATGTAACGGCTTTTCATGATATAAAGCGCTAGCTTGTGCTTCTCACGAGCTCGAGTGATGGGCCAGAAACTTACGAACTTTTATCAATATTCTGTATAATACAATTATTATGCAGTAATTAAGATTGCGTACAGATCCAGGTATGACGTTGGCGTGTCTAAGTCTTTGTCGATTATCCAGTGACGAATAAGCGTCGCAATCGGCAGACAGCATTTCTAACCTGTTAGCCCGGCTGCCAGGCTCGTTCTGTTGGAAGTACTACCTATTATTGGCCAATAGGACGACGCTTCCCCGGAGCGTCTGTTACAAAAAAGCATAGCATCTCCTTTGGCCAGGGGTCTTCGTGAAAGCATGCGACACTTAAAACAGCGCAAACAATCCAGGTAATAGCCAAACTTGATCATATGTTGAATTGTACCCACATAAAACTCAATCAGTCATCGCAACGCTTGAATAACTCAATTGCCCTTAAATATCTATGTCAGAACAGGCTTAATGAAGCCACGAAAAGAGTTCTAGTAGTAGAAAACTGGTGATAGGCAACTAGGGTAGAGGTACAGGCAAACAAGCAAAGTATACTAATTTCCCGAGGGGTAAAAGAAGCAGCTCTACGGCGAGTTAAACGATGTTTACAAATCCGAAGGGTATTTAATTATAAATAAAGTAGTTCAATCGTACGTACAGTTCGAAAGGTGTAGACCGATAAAGCGCTTCCGGCGTTCGCCATTGGCTGCTTGTTTGCCCCATGCGCGAGATTTGCTGGCCGTTTTTTTTTTACAAATGAATGGCGGCACCGAGCGTTGCGAATCATGTATGTGTATTCATATGGACATAAGCGAAGCGTCGCAATCCCCGACTCTTTCGGCGTCACGTTTAGGTTTTTTAAACATTGCACCTTATCTTAATCACCGAAAGCATTCGCATCATCATCATTATCGGGATTAATCTGCAATAAACTATTGTATCTAATGTTTCTGTGCCAATAAAAATGAGCAGAGAGCGACCCTCCTCTAATTTGTCGTTGAATATTATACAAAAATTGATAATGGCCTGACCACACCTTCATAGAAGTACGTGTGATCATTGCAGAGGTACGTTTGCTATCTTTTGTTGGACGACTATTATACTATAGCGAGATACATTCTCCGATGTACGTAATGATTTTTGCACACGTGCAGTACGTATTGAGCGATAAGATCCAACAAAATGGTGCGACACTTAATGGACCAATGATATCCGTGGACAGGAACAGAAAGAACAAGCCGTTTGCCTGTCAATTAATCTATAACAATTGAGTAGAATAGAAATACGAAAGGAGATACGTAGCTTTATCCCTCTGGATTCTGTTTAACTTCGTGATAGCAATATACAGCCGTCGGTTTTGCTGATATGCCAACGTACTGGCAATGCCGAATGTAGGTGCTGATATCAACACCATAGAATCTTATAAACAAACAGTAGTCTTATTTGTCACAATTTCTGTAGTCCTATTAAGCGTACGTCCGTTAGGAGAGGATACTCCGGAGAATATCAGCCTGTGTGATTCACAAGGGCCTTTTGCACACTCACTGTTTCAAGACATGTTGGAACGGCGTATATTCTTCGTGTCGTGTGGATACGGTTTTTGTGCGAGATGAGCCTCGTATAAAAACCGTATCCACACGTCTCTCGTACCTTCTCATGATCATTCTAAAAAAGACATGTTTGTGTTGTGTTATAATCTAATTCATTGTTTAGTGGTTTTGGACAGGCTGCAAATATCTGTTAAGGGACCATACGATTCACACGATGTCACCGATGTGCTTCGCTGTGTAAGCTTTGGACCTTAGGGAAGCAGCCGCGATATTAGTAAAGTACGCAGCTGTCAGCGATGCTTAGCGATACTCAGCCCCTTTGGAACGTTTAGTGATTGTTCCTGGGAAATTTTTCTGATTAATAAATTTTATCATGCGCTTCAATTGAAGTACATGGACGAAAAATGACATCCCTAGGGTTCATCTATTAAAAAGCTCGATTAAATCGTGTGAGAATAAGCCTATGATCCTCACTGGCTGCTGTAGAAAAAAAATTCGTCGAATGTATATGTATCATACCTCGCTGGCTTACTCGAACAAAACTTGTATATGTATTTGCATAAAAGGTCTTTTCATATATATATCGAATTGTTTATATTTGCAGGTTATTATGCAGTCCAAACGAGGACAGTCGACACACGTCAGATGAATCGTTCAGCCTGTGCTCGGATGAGTCATGGATTGGGGTAGGCGGCATGTCGGGCCTTTCGGGCGACCTTGGAGTTGATGAGGTTTATATTCGGGTGAAAAAACGCGAGGAAATGCACCTGTGGCCACTTAAAGAAGATCTGGCAGACTGGCTTAATACAGTTCTTGGTAAGTTCCTATGGAGTAAAGCAAGTAATATATATATATATATATAGGTAATCGGGCTAAAATATTGTAAGAGTGCTATACTTATTTACTGCATATTACTATATGTTATATAATATACCAACTATAATATGTTCATCAGTCATTATTATTGTTCAATAGAACAGTCTTTGATAGATCTTCCATTAGCGTAACTAAACCCCGACCAGGAATCAGCAAGACCACCAATGTTATATCGTAAACGGAAAACCCATGAGAAGATCATTGTTCAAAGGAAATGGAAAGGGTGGTGCTAAGAACCCTAGGGAAGTATTTCCGCAAATTGTTCCTCGTTAAGTTCTTTGAAAACTTAAGGGATCGCTGTGCATTGTAAGATCAGCTAGTTACGCGTATTTCCTTATTTGTTGTTTCGACCGTTCAGACACATCGGATATAACGGCAGACAACTTTATGAGCAAGCTCGACAATGGCGTCGTAGTTTGTAGATTGGCGCGGCTTATTCAGATGCGGGCGCAGCAAATCGAGCAAGAAACTCCGACGACTAAGGTTTGGAAAATCTACACATCCGTATTTATATTATAAATGTGATATTAATTTTAGTACAGTGTAGGTACGCTACCTTTTGCTTGTTATTTAAAAAAAGAAAAAGCATTATTATTGGCCTATACTGGTAGTGTATGACGCTGATTGTAGAAAGTGTTGCCGTTTAGCTTTAAAAATGAAACGTATCTAACACAGCGTACAAAATTCTTCGATTTTTTTTTTATAGATTGTGGACGGTACGAAAATCTATTCTTGTCATCTTTTTCGTTGCTACGGCAGCTTCGTCTCCGTGGTCACGGATATGTACAATATTACTGAACCTACATATACAAAGATATATACAGCCACGTGAGCTCGTTCGATACAACTCTGACAACGTCCTTTGCCTATCTCGTTTAGCTGCGGTAAAAGGCTTATGTACCGATTCCGAATTAGGTATTATTCTTTATGCTGCCGCTATGTCACACACGACAGTCGAATTGTTTCGCTCAAATTGATCATGCTTTACGAACGATGTAATCAACGGAATCTACTGTGCTAGAAGATATTGCAGGGCAAACGAAAACAACCGTCCGACCCACGGAAACCTTTTTGGGAGGCGCTTACGTCACGAGTCCAACTGTGCCTTTTTCTCTTGATTGTACTTCATTAACCTGCCACGACTATGGCAGAGATTCGGTTGTCCTTCGCCCACCTCGCTCTATGCCCTCTGTTCATCATATCCGCATCATGTAGAACCGATCCTTTGCTCTCAAAAATTGCTCGCTGGATCTGCTTTTGGTAGAAAAAAAAAAAAAGCTACCTTTTATTTAGTTTTAGTTTAGCTGAAGCAGCGACGTGCGTATCATGCTGCTTGGGATATTGGGTGCTCGTGCAGCCAACAAGATTTACTGAGAAGCGCTTTTGGTAGTAAGCTCGTTTAATTTTCGAGATGAATGACGAAGTTCACGACTTGAATAATTCCACAAACGATGAACACGGGCCACTTTTCCTGGGGGCCTCTCGAATTGAATCGCGCCGGTATGGTACGCCACCACATGAGCACGCCGTGCTGTGAATTGTGGCATGCTCCGAAACTGTGACGGTGGTATTAAAACCGGACGTGTCATCGTCGAACAGGAGCTCTGCAGCTGCTGATGAGCGACGGATTGCGGCAGCTGGCATCAACAATCTAGTACCTACGAGAACATGAAGGTCTGAAGGATAGATCTTCAAACAAGTTTTAGCAAGTCGTCGTCGAGCAGCGTTTCATACCGTCGCGCTAGTAGCTCTGGTAGTCCTAGTAGTTGTAATGCTGCTAGTACCGTTGGTATTGTTTTTTTCGCAATTGTAGAGCGGTAACTCCTAGATTGGCCGAGTCCCGCATAGATTTTGATCAGTTACTTGCTCACCCATTCGCGCAGGTAGCCGCTCAACGATGGCTATAATCAGCCATCTCCTTTAAATGGTTACCGGATTTTGCGTTATAGGTTTACCTAGACCTAGAACAACTCTAGCGGTTGTTCCTTGCCGCCGGCAGCAGTTCGTTGTACGATTACATTTGGCTATGATCTAGCATTGTATTTTGTCTCGGTTCCATTTCAGTTTACTCGCTTTCGTCAACTGTGGACTTCAATTTAAATCTGAATTCTTTTTCTTTTCTATCGATCTTACTGGCTATCGTAGGCGTTCACGTTATAAATAAGAAATTCAGGATTTACGTTTGGTACTGAAACTACTGCTATGCATTATTTCTACGAATCAAAACGTATCCTTAAGTTTAGGCCGTCAAAACAGGACAGGAAAAGCGGATTATCAAAAACCGACAAACAAAACATGGATAGCGAATAATGAAGCTATTCGAAGATGTTGCTACAGTCACATCTTTTTGTTTCTAGATCTGATTAGTTTGAAATTCAAATTCTGAAATGCTAAGCCACTAGTACAAAGTGAACTGGCAACCAAAGTAGTGATTCGTAGAAAACCGATAGGTACGTTATCCGTAATAAAGGGTTCAGCAACTGTGACCGTTACACACCTGCAAAAATCCTCGTTGGATCCGTCGCCTGTCGTTCCATGATCGTTTCGAATACAGCGGGTAGCTGTACGTTTCCGTTCTTCATTCCGTTGCCTGCTATGCCTTTTTCGACTCACCGGTCTTCGCTGTTTGGCTGCTTGTTGCTTTTTCCATCGCCCTCCAGAGGAAGATGACGCCTATCCACTGACGTGCGCCTTCAGTTTGGCATAGATTTGTCTGCGATTAAATCGAATTCTGTTGCTCATTCTTAGATATACATTCCTACACAAAGGGAGACATATATCTAGTGGGTAACAGTAATGTGTGTGTAGCTACACTAGCGGGAACAGGGTCGATGTGGCACCCGTTGCTCAAACAACTGTGTGTTTGTACAAACTGAACGTACGTGGGGCGGACGAGCGATCGTTGCAATTGTCTTCCCCTTTTGAATAGTAGGTTGGGTGGAGTTTCTCTTCTGCAACGGCACGAAAAGTCAGCTGGATAGTAGCGGTAACTATTTGTTTGAATTGTGCATGGCGCAGGCATAAACACACACATATACATTTTCATTGCGTTCAGTGAAAATCGTCGGGGGGATTGGGGGTGGGTATGTGGGCAAGGTATCCCGACCAGGTGGAACACTGTCATCTTCACGTTGTCATAGCGCGCCTATTCCAATAGATATACAAAACACTATAAACAATACAATTATAATCATCATCATGATCGTCGTTTTTGCTTGTAAGTAATCAAAATATCGTTTGCCTGTAGCTATCGGAATCGACGTCTTCCGCTTATACCTTTCAGGCGTTTTGTTCGAATAAGATTAAGATAGATACAAGGTATACCTTAGATCGACTATCCGAATGTCGAAGCTTACAGAAATACCTACTGTTAGTCCAAGAAATATAAACGCGTCATCTGCTTCGACCATAGGACCATGTATAGTATACGCTTGTTTTTTTTTTTATACAAAACAGATTATTATCCCACAAAATTATTAGCAATTTTTTTAGCATGAGTGAGAGCGAAAGCTGGCCTGCTTAAACTAAATCTTGTATTTCAGACATGTTTCTCGTACGGGGCCGCTTATAAAGATAATGACGGCCATGTAGTGAAACACTAGAGCGTTGAAGGGAGAGAGAGAGAGAGAGAGATGTCTCCTATGAGACGAAAATGCTATTGTTTCTTAACAATATTGTGAAAGGATATATGAAGGTTGCGTGCATATGAGTCCGAGCACCTCACCGTCTACCTTAGTAGTGAAATCCAAGCAAGTCGAACACTGAAAATTTAACACCTAAAGCCCGAAGTCGACCAAGAATCGAAGACCATCTTGTCACCCCGACACAATATGCTAATATAAATAACCGTCTGCAGATGTTACAGTATTCTATTTGGAGGACGGTCAAGCGCTGCACCTTTAAGCGTAGCATCCGATTTTAAACAGGCTTCGCATATATATATATATTACGCGCGACTACGAGAGACCAAAATGGTCATGATTAGATTTGAAAAATAACAAAAGACAACGATAAAGTAGTGGCGGAATATAAAAACGGATGGAGTGGATCCAGAAGGTAACGAAAACTAACTAAAATATAAAAACTAAAGTCGAAAAAATGGTGGATGCCTATGAGCAAAATATATATATATATATATATATAGCGTGTACTTCTCGTATCAGGCGACTCTGGTGTTTATGTTCAATCCAGAAAAGAATGATTAATTTGGGAAAATCTGAAAGCAGAACGTTGCATACGTGGTGGAAAAAATCGTGGTTTCGTATAAAAGGACGTCATTTTTGTTGTTCTTCGTGCAAAACCCCCCAGAAACCCATTCCGATAGGAAAAAATCTCTTACTTTTAACCAAAAAACACTCGGGACTTTTTTTTCCTAAAAACGATACCTAATATTTACTCACTGAAAAAGCATAGTGAAAACAAATTTGTTAGATATGTGTAAAAATTAGAAAAAGAAAGATCCCAGATTACTTTATAAAGTTAAAAAATCTCTTCAAGATTTAATAAGAAGGTAAACAGTAAAAGAGAGGAAAAAAGACTTGTGTTAACTGAACAGAACTACGCAATGAAATTTGGTAATATTATACCTTTACTACCTGAAGACAGACAGGTGCTAGTGTTTTCGATATTATGAGCCGCCCTTCTTTTTTTACCAAACAGCATCTTGTTTTATGAAAACTCTAATGGCAACCAAAAAAAGCTGTCGTTCTTTTTCACTAATGTTAATATGATGTTTTTAACAACATGACGTTATTTTTTGCTATATTTAGCGGTAAATATCTTGAAGTGTGCTTGAACTCGATTGATGCTTGCACGATTAACCCAGATGCAACAGAAATACGTATGGTTCTACTGGCTGAGTCGAGGTGAATCGTTTTTAAAAAGCTCACTTTTCGGCCATTCGATAGTCAGGTTATAACAATTTAGTTTAAAAACAAAACTAAGAAAGGATAACAATCATATGTACTTTCGATGGTTTTACAAACGTTTAAGATTCTATCTCAGTTTGTTAAAAATGGTTCACATATGAATAATTGTCACCGAAAATAACTTATAATAAACATTTTTGTTCAGTGCTTTTTAGTGCAAAATGTGTCCTATTCAAAACAATGTGTTAAAGACTTCAGCTGCTAGTTAACCTAAAGCTTGAAAATATATTTCTTATAAAAAAAAAAAAATTCAAATGAGCTCGAAACAAGTCTATCAGTGATGAGCGAAGTGCTAGGGGCTGTTTCTGCTTTGTGCGCGCGTCGTTCAACCTAATCGGTAAACACACATTAGGTAGTATGGCTCCTGTAATCTGGAAACACATATGAACAAATTGCTGTGGTGCTTAAAGCAGAACATCAATCAGTGTTATCTGTTATTATTGCTTGAAATCGATGGGGCCTTAAATCAGACTGACACCATCTATGGAAATCAACGTTGTAAGTGGATTTCTACTGTGCTTTTCTATAGCATTTTGCTCGTTAACGATCACTGAAAACAGGCCGAGCAGGAGGCAAGAACATGTAGGAAAGAAACTGATCTATTCGAAACAAATGAAAACATAGGCATAACGATCTGCAATGATTTCCCGGGGAAATTCTCCGTTACTTTGGAGTTTAAACGACAAAATCTACTATTCGGAGTCGAGGTAAATAGATTACCTGGGGTCACTCATTATCGATGAAAGATTAGTTGTTATTTTTTGTTTTTTTTTGCTAAAGATTGTCAGCATCTGATGCACTCAAGCCGACAGCCAGGCGAAAAAGGCACTTTACTATAAGATAGTATAGCAATAAGCGGTAGACTTCGTCGAACGTTAATTAATATCCAGATTTTAATATTGCTATTTTTGAATTCGCTCAGGAATAGATAGTTTACATATGTGAAGCTACAAAAAAGACACGTAGCGAAAACTGAACTATAGGAGTGTATATGGATCAGAACATTTTAGCTACTCATATATAATTGTTGGTAGTGTTAGCATTTTGGAGAATGTTTTTTTTGTCATTTCCTAATATCCATATAGCAACTTAATGAAAGATAAAGCTTAAAATAAACGTTAGATTAAACATAGGAACGTTATCTAAATAGAAAAGATTATCTAAATCTTTTCGACACATTGTATTATGTTTTGTACTGCGATTTACTATTGTTGTTGTTTACCTTTTGTTGCTATTGGCCTATTGCAGACGAATATCCCACCGTTCGACTTTAAATGTTGGCCAGATGCAAAAAAAAGCAGCTTCTTCGCGCGTGACAATACCGAAAATTTCCTGAAGTGGTGTAGGAAGCTCCGGATCAACGAAGCGATCATGTTCGAGTCCGATGACTTGGGTAGGTTTCTCAGTGAACGGCAATTAGTGGCTTTCGTGACGACGAATCTATTGGATAATGGAGAACCGCGATTGTTGCTACGTTGAGGCTATGTGCCGCCTTTGTAGGTCAGTCGAATAGAACTAAAAGATGACAACGTTCATTGCGTCCGACGCTTTACGTGTTTAATTACATCTATAATAGACGTTACTTTGTGTAAGGTCTTCATGGGTCATGCGGGGGGCTTTGTGGAGCGTTCGTTCAATGATATGAACAACTACGATATGCCACCATTTAAGTAAGAAGCAAGTATCAACATTGCAAATAGTTTTTTCTCCAAAAAAAACAATAGATACCTTTGGCTGATTTGCTTAACTGGTAAATCCTTCGTAGTAATGTTTGTAACGTCACCCGGGTTAGGTGGTGTCAGGGGGCCAGGCAGTATTTACAAGCAACCAAATATATTATGCGAACGGTAATGGTAAGGATTCGAATAAATCGTATCGGCTGACGGACGAACTACGATGCTTCAATATATTTTGTTAGCTCATTTTATTGTTATATGGGTATATGCTTACTGCCGCTTGATAAGTTGCAGTGTTAACTTCTAACTTCCCGACAATTATTTGAAAAGTTAAATTGTTTTTATTTGTTGCTTAGTAATGCGTTACGAAGTAGAAATAGTTCTTTCCATATGAACTGATCTTATATGAATCTTAGACTTTATTTCGTTATTGTTCTCCTTATGCTATAGCTGTTATTAGCTAGAACTGCTGTTATCTCGGCATGTTTAGGGTAAATGTTGCCTTGGCTACCCGTATCTGGGGGGTGTTGTGCTTTCGTCCGTCTAATCTAAAGCGGACATTAATTAAGCGTTAATTTCCCTGTGCTATTAATTACATTATTTTGTGACTATACTAAATTCTTATTATGTTATATATTGCACAGTGTGCCTTAGCCTGATACGTTTGTAAGCGCCAGAGTTTAGCCGAATCCTGAACGCAACCTGCAAATTGCCTGTAATATACAGCACGCAGGTGTATTCTATATGTCCAGCCAAGTCATAGAGAGACGAGAACCAGGAAGTAGGGGGCAAGAGTAGATGGGGTACGGCAGGGCCATCAGAAATTGAAAACGTCCCTCTACAACTGCATCTAGTGATCATGATAGTATTTCAACGACGAGCCCCCCTGTTATCAACCATCGTTGACTTCATTCGTTTATGAGTTCGGTGTATGATACGATGCACAGGTTGGCGGCGATGCGCACCCGAAAATTACTTCTTCAAGCCATTTTCACAGCGCTAGAAGCTTGGGTGCGGAGCAAAGTTTCATCATCAAGAAGACTCATAATAAAGACGCACAGAAAGCCCATCACAGATCCCGCGAACAAGTAAAAAATATGTCGAAAATAATCGTACAATCAATTCGTAAGGCGGTTCTAAGACGACGAGATCATAAAGCGAATGTCAGTGAAATGTCATCTTTAGCATTTGATCGACTGCCAGTTGGGTTCGTAAGTTCTAGCTCGAGTGGAAAACATATACTTGCCCGTCGTAGACAGAGCGCTAACTCCTTTGTGACATGGATAGCATTAATACCGTTTTGTGTTGCGTTCTTATCCACCTAAGAAGCTTTGCTCAGCGCCTGTGCTAGCGTGTTCTGTACCAATCGTCCTCGCTGTATTGATCCTGTTCACGGCTATATTCAGCTCGAACACCCGTGGGGAGTTATTGATTTTTCCATCCTCCACCTATCTGATGTCATCACCAAAGGCAGGAAAGTAGTAGAAAAAAAAAAACAGCCCGGGTCGACTGGGTTGTTTTTTGCAGGGGAGTTAGATATGTCGCCCAGAATGTGACGATGACGACGATCCACTGGTCCCCATCATTGACGCCCTGCTATCGTCGTCAATACAAAGTCCATGGTGACATTTTTCTCCACTTTTTGCAGTTTGTTCTTGTCGTCGTTCGTCGACGATGTCAGCTGTTCGGTTTTGTTGACAACTGTCCACCGCTGCGTTGAGCAACTAACTATGAGCGTCGTCGATCGCTAGTGATGATTCTTTGCTGAGGCCAACGACATGGAGGTAATAGAGTGAGTCGATCCTGGCTCCTGGACGATTTGCTCGTCTGATGGATAGCTGCTACTGATTCTGCAAGCTATAGTGATTGTTTATGTCAGTTCCTTGTGGACATTTCATGTTATTTTCTGCTTTTTTTTTTTTATCGGCATCGTCGTTGAGGCAACAGTAAAGTACAAGACCTACGCGAAATACGGCCTTTCATGGACACTGACTGATGAGAAGAAATATCATCTAGTTACTCGAAGTTAGTCATCGTCACCGTGTAAAATCGTTTCATCAATGGATCAGCCGCTGATCGAACGTCACGTGCAGATCTTGAATTGCCCCTTGGTGGATGGTAGCGTCGTTTCTGGCAGAACTATTAAATAAAAAAAGTCTTAGATAGACGACTTTGCAAAACATAGCCGATAGCTGTAAACTATTTTCTTGAAATATACATACTGTGTACACTTGAGGAAGACCAAGAAGATGCAAGAGCGTACGAACTAGCTCTTATTTGAATTATGATGGATAAATGGTGTTCAAATACAGAAGTTCGAAAATGATCTGAAAAAGCTTTCTGGAGTCTCCTACGTTGTCCTAAATGTAGCTGCTAGATTGAATTGATATTATGCGTACTCTGCTGATACAGTGATTACATACATAAACAGGATTTTCAAATCCTGTGTAAGGATGAACAGCGGAAAAACACGAGCTTAGTATTTATTATCCTGAGGTTTTGCTATTATTGCGGTTGTTTCGAGTAGGTCCTGATTATACAGCGAGCCATATAACCGCCGCTGCCATAATGAGTGTCACCGGAAAAGCTATATAATCAACCGTGTTACAAGCCAAAATCAAATATAATAAAGTATCGTTCGTTACTATCGGACAATACGTGTTGCCATTACCAGAACCGTATTCATCAAATGATGGCTCTATCCTTTCGGCCTTTGCAGACCATCTCATGGTACCGGTGGCCTGCATAGCCTGTACCCTAAACCGAAGAATAGGTCATATCGACAGTTTTAGTAGTCATATAAATTTGGCACTTTCACGCATTGGCAGCATAGTGCATACATAAAGAAAACAGCTTGTTTCTACCGTTATATCATCATCCATTATGAACAAATGTTTCCATTAAACGGTGCCTCGATGCTCACATAATAATGGTAACTGGACGCCGCTGAGATTTTCCCTTCGGCATCGTTCGTCGATCCCGCATGGTGCTTTTTTCAGCAGCAGAAAACTCCGGGAAAGGTGGAAGAGGACAAATTGAGATGTCCGCCACTCGGGACGATGGCAGCAGCGGCAACAGCGACGAAGTACGAGAGCCTAATAGGTATGTGCCGTTAAAGACAACACAACCTATCTGCGCATCTAGCAATGTTGAGGATAGGTCGAATGTGAAAATGATCACAAATGCTAAGTCGATGAAGCCAATGGTCCGCGTTGCTGTCTCCATGATCATTCTCACCGTCTTAACAATCAGTGTCTCAGTATCGCTGGAACGATATCAGTGAAGACTGCCAAGCAAATGCCCACTGGTCGTCACCAGTAATAACGACTTGGTCGAAGGATGCCCCTTGCTATGTAACTGATTCTGTGCTGATAATGCTAATAATCGTTGTCATGACGCCATCAGCAACGTGTCGCAGTTAAAATGTCGTTGACGTTTTAACCCGCAGGTGGCGAACCCGCGAACAACCGACGATGTTTTGACTGCTAGATCGCGTAAATTCAATTGGACCGAGCCCGCTTCTAATGGCCAACGCGCGTATCCATCCCATGCCATTAATAGCGCTGCTGGCCGACAGTTGACAGGTGCCCGGGCATGGGCTGACGCGTGCAATGCGAACGAATTTCTCGATAAAGTTGTGGTGGCAACAAATAAGGAACGCCCCCACAGCGAAACAGCTGACCTATGTAAACGCTACTAGCGAAGAGGCCGGTGACTATCTGGTCGGAGTAGTATCTACGAACGAATGACGATGGTCCCAGATAATGTTGATTCAGATTCTTGCAGCGTCCTGGAAGATATGGCATCGTCGTCACCACCATTGCCGCCGAATTTTTCGTCCACGCTCCTGTGCGGGGTCGCTTTTCTCTTCGAATGTAAACATTGATCCTTTGGTTCTGCCCCCATTGGTCGGCCATTCGACTGACCAGCGAGCCGGCTAGAACTGCAGTGGAACCCCCACAGCCACAATAACATGAGAGACGCATTGCAGTAATTTTTGGTTACTCACTATTTGCCACTGTCGCCATTGTTGGTACAAGCTTCGATGTTGTATGATTTAGCGATGATAAAGAACGTGCTAATAAGGAACATCGCGATAATGTCTGGTAATCGATAATTCGTTCGGTGATTTATGTTTTTCATTCATTTATGCGATAACGGATCGCGAACTGGTGTTAAGCGCGCTATCTCTCCAAGGCAGAGCTCAAGGAACAAGCGGCCTTAAGCACCCGGGGGGCAAAGCATTATGTGTGTGTGTTAATCGAGTGGAAGGAAAGGTAGGCGTTCTAATAAATGCGATAGAGAATACCCGACGATATTTGGATGCAATTGCAAAAATAAACGGGTTGCTGTGCAGGATGTGGTTTTCAGCTATAGGAGAAAGTCCGTTGCTAGCAGCCGGTCTTAATGCAAAGGAAGGCCTGAATGACGCCTCCAAAGTGTACCCGATTACATGTTAAATTACTATACGACTATGGTTAGGACAATATTTTTGTTTCTGAAACAGATGCTAAAAAAGAATAGGTTAATTATTCGAAGATCGTTCATTGAGGTACTTTGTCTGAAAACTAATCGCACCATCACTTGCCACCGGAATCATTCGCAGTTGATCTAAGTATATGTTGCGTTATGCGTAACTATAGAAAAGTATCTGGCAAGTGTTTAGGGAAGCGTGAAGCAGTGAGGTCGATCTTCCGTCTCATTATACGATGATCATGCGACGATATTGAATACGGTAATGATATTTTGCGACAATTCACAATCGATATTTATAATTTATGCGACATTTTCTTGAGTCAGTTATGTCAAGAGCTTAGTGGCTGTTGCACATAATTGTAGCATATGTTACGTGATAGTAGCCGACCATGTAGCAATGGTGTCGTATTTTGGCAAGAAGACAGAAATTAAAATCGCTAAAGATATACTTTCCGTGTTATTGTTGCTGTCAGACAAATCTATCGTCATTCTTATATAAATCGTTGGTTTATAACGGGAGTTCCGCCTGTGGTTGCGACGCGCACGTTTCAGGCCTTACGGGCATTTATGGCCGCCAATATTGCGTTCGATATTTTAAAATTAATTCTTCCGATAGCGAGATACAGGCCTCATGGCCGCTCATGTTCAGGCGAAAAAAGCATGTTCCTCAGTGTTGTGTTAGTGACTTTTAAGTAACTTACTGCTATTTCAAAGCATAACGAAAACTTTGGCTGTGTATTTGGTGTTTTTTCTTTACATCCTTAACGTAACAGGAGTCACGGAATTCATATATTATTTTTAATAACAGATTGAATGTTTGGCAAAAAACGTGACCGAATGGACACCAGAATAACAATTAAGAATCAGAATTAATAACATGAGCAAGCGAACAAACACCAAAAATTCGGTCTATCGCATACCTATGTAACACGCAAATGTTTTCCTCCCTTGAGAACCAAAAAAAAACAGGCCCATTTTACATAGAACATTTCGGATGAATCTGTTCGATGCCTTTTGCTGGCACAAACGCATCTGGTTGTAAACAGGTGGATGGATATCGCCAGATGCGACAGGAACGACGATCCACAATGGTACTTTTGACATATTTCTAATTACGTTACTAATTGTGACATAATTTGTGTAAACAAAGAAAACTACACCGACGAAAGTAGTAATGTTGTTTTCAAAAGTGTTCAAAAACGACCAGTCTGCTGCTGACCGGGCTATCTGGCCCAATCGTCAGGCAGGATACAATAAACTGGGTTACGTTGTTACGCATTCTGATGCTTTATAAACATACAGGCAAGCTGGCTCTATTCTATTGGCCTCTGTGGAATTCAAATCACGCGACGAAGGGAGAAAAACAAACGAAACCCCTGGGAAAATTAATATTGTGCCCGTTGCAGGGCAAATATTTATGTTACGGTGGTGATTGGTCATTTAAAAAACTAGAATACTAAATGGACAATCATAAATAGTCACAAATGAGCGTGTCAAAGAATAATCAAGTCATATTTATACAAGACATACTACGCATTTTGTTGAAATCGGGGTCAGACTCTCGAGTGTGTGTCACTTCTCCTGATCGCTTGAAGATAAGTTTCCGTTGAAAAGTCAGGTAACAAACTAACGCTTGAACATCGCACCATAGGTCCTAAAAATCGTGTGGCCGTTAAGGTTGTGTCTGGTCTTGGTGGTCAGAAAAGGACTTACTGAAATATGTCTTGTAAACTTGGTAGTAAATACTTATCATTTAGCGCCTCCGGTTAGTCCGTCCAGACACTACACATATTCATATATAAATTCAGACCTAAGCTAGTTTGAGCTGTGACGGTGTTCCTCGAGCATATGCTATAAGTTTAAGGATTGACATATTAAAATAGCTTGTTAGAGTAGCAACGTGATATTGATGTATTTGAATGGCAAATGTTAAATGGGAATTTTCTTTCTCTCAAATATGGCTATAATCCGCTTCTGTGCTCTGTTCGTCTAATTTATTTTCTGGAAATCACTGTTACCAGACCTATTGGGACTTCATTCATTCGTGACGGCTTCATTCTGGCTTAATGTGTTCGCGCGGCTTTCAGCACAGCCCTCCTTTGTCTCGTTCTGCTTTGACTTGTCTTCAAGGCAAATTCTGTCGCCCCAGAGTTGTCAGCAGACATGTGTAGGCATATCTTTTCGCTGGACAATGATTTCTAAATGTACATATTCATTAAGTTGATTACCAAACGTTTTTACACAGGTCGTCGGGGGATTGCGACCAGTTACCGCGTTACATGTTGAAACGTACGATTTAGCTTTAATAACCGTGTGGCATTGAAACAGCTGTTGGTATCGTTCTCCTTTATTTGTTGACTTATTTGTTGCCATTACCTGTCGTTGGTCTAATTAGGAGGAGCTCAGTTTTTCAGGTAAAAAACGATGGATGACTAAGCTGTATTCTGAAACACCATTAACACTTACGTACTCAAATGTTTGCTGTAGTTTGATATATATGGCCGTTACGTCCCTAATATTTAGATTGCGTTTCGTTATTGTCGCAATAGTTAATCTATTATTAATACCGAGACACTATTTCATTGTAAATGAGAAGAGTATTGATTGTTTACTTCGGAAAAAACACTTCTTAAAATTAAATTTCGCTTAATATATGTGTTACGCGTTACCGTAGACGTAACTAACTCAATTTGTCTTATACGCTCGCATGGCAGTTCTACATAGTCAGCCTAAAAATGTCCTGTTGTGCCTACTCGAATTGGGACGAATCGCTTCGCGCTTGGGCATCGAGGCACCGGGCCTGGTCGAGCTCGAAAAGGAAATCGAACGCGAAGAGCGGCGGATTCGCGAGCAGGAACAGCTCGAGCTTCAGATGCGGATGGAAATGGCGAATGAGCAAAAGAGGTAAGCGACCGAAATTATGTCTATTGCCGTCATTGCAATAAAAAAAAGTTTATTATCGATTTGTACCATTTTTTAAAAGGATTATTATGAACTGGGTAGTTAGCCCGTATGGGTCATGGTCTGCGCTTGAGCCACGTGGTATTGCAACAGTAATCAGTAATTCTTGCCTACTTAGGGTTTCTAGAGTGTATAATTCGTCGTAATCTTAACTCGGAGATATCGCACGCAAAAAACTACTATCACAGATTTGATGCAGTCTCTAACTGCGACGGGTGAAATTTCATGAGAACTTAAAAATGGGAGCCATATGTTCGTTACTTTGTTGTATGTTAGAGGAAACAGGTAGTTGGGATGAAACAATGAATAATTATTTTAGCTTATGGCTTTGTTTACGCCTGCATGGATATAAGAATCAACCTGTTTGACGAACATTTAGGCAAAATGAACATCTACACGAATCTTCTGTCTGACTGCGCGACTCTTCTGAAATATGCTTACTTGTTACGTTAATTTCAACCTGTAGTATTTCTTATTTAATGCCTTGTGGTAATATTGAAAAAAACATTTATCACTATGCTCGTCAGTTATCTCATTCGAAGCGGTTAATAGTATGAAAAAATGGCCTTGAACGAAGGCACGGAATGGCTTACTCTATGAAGCAAGCGTGCCTCACCTGGACTGCGCCGGTACGGTATTGCACTGTTGCTTCGCATGTCTATTTTGGCTCTCATAGGAAAAAGCTGTGATGGAAACGTTATGATGGATATGTGTGTGTATGTGTGTGTGTGTGTGTGTGTGTGTGTGTGTGTGTGTATATAGGTCCGTTCACCACGCAGCCGTTCGACATAAACAGCATATGCGGGATGAAAAGAAGCAAACTTTTCCCAGCGCATATCTAGCAGCGCCATGTCTGAATGGAGACAACGCCGCAGTCTCCCCAGGGTACGCGCATGATAAAGTCATGGGGAAAAAGAAACGCCCCTGCTTGGCGTCATCGTCCCTGTTCGCAATAAATAAACGAATGGAAGCCAGTGAATCAATAGTGCTCCAGTCGTAATAGCAACAATCCAAATAGTGATCCCAACCTTTAAAAGCTTTCGCTGTTAGAAACTTCTTCGTCGGTAGTAGCTCTACCGAGATATTGCTGTATGAAAACGACCTAACTACAACCTCGATCTACTATAATTTGCACTTTAGTAATAATTTAATATAATTTGCACCGGATAATATATCCGGTAGAATTTCATTGGTAGTTTTGCCTGTGCTTCCAGATAATATCGGTAATAATGCTACCACGGATCTAAGTCGTAAAGAAGCCTTTATAGGTTAATTTTGGTGACATATAGATGGCATGGTAGGGAAAAGACACAAAATTACTACTACATATTTGTATGCTCATATACATTCGAAGCTGGTAAGACTGCTATAATGTAAACATCACTTTTACATCCAACAACTACTTTGATGGCTCGCCACCACTGTAATACCGGAGCTACAAAAATACACTGGATGGAATGGAAATATCATATCAGGCTTGAGGTATTTTGAATGCAGATTATATTAAGGTTTCTTTTCGAGCTTCTGATCATTAACACATCCCGTGGTTCCCTTTTATTTATGTATTTTCGACGTTATATTACAGGAGAGAGGATACGAAACGCGGCGCTGAGTGTGAGTTGCTGGCTACATCGCGAGACATTACACCGACGCCAGATGGTGCATCAATCGCCAATTCAATTGAAAGTCACGACAGTGGCGTCGACGAAACCGACGGAGATCTTCGCGCTCAAGGAACGCCTGCCAGAGAGCGCTCTTTGCTCGACGCCAAGAGTAGTTTAGCATCAGAGAGCGGGGAAAGTAACCCCGATAGTTTGGGCAGATCCCTTCAGAGCTCTCCAAACGGCTCCGTGGGGGACCTCTCACGCTGCTCCACGCCCTCGTCGACAGGCGTAGGTCATGGAGACAAAAGAAATGGCCGAATGTCTTCGGTCTCAAAAGTCCCAAAGAGCTTGATCCCCGTACCGGAATCTGGTCACTCCTCAGTTAAGAAGTGGATCCCCGGTGGAGCAGGGGCTGGCAATCCGGCAAAGACGAGCAGCAGCATGCAGGCCCTAAAGTTTGACCGACACTCGAAAGATGGGCTCACAATGCCCAGGTCGACATCGGCCAACAGCTTACGAGATGACGGTGGATGTGCGGCAGATGAGCACAAGGAAAACGCACTAAGCAACGGAAAGCCGTTGAAAAGCGGGCCTTCTCCGAGCAGTAATGCTACACTGAGTAAAGATGCGGCAGGCGTAGGAGCTGTAGAAGTACAACTGAGTACCTTAAGCTGCGCCTCGGTCAACGAAGTGGAAACTGCTGAGGAGAGCGCAGATGTACTGGATGCAAAGGTACACTTAACACTTCATGACCTAATAATTACCTAACCACCCATAACACGATCGTTACTTAAGGATGTGGTAGGCGACGATACAGTTGGTAATAATGGTGTAGCAGATATACTTAATTTTATAAAATTCATGCTTAATAAACTTAGAAGTTGGCCAATTCGTTGATTCTACGATTGCAGCTGGTTTACCCGAAGATATTGATAGAAATCAAATAACAGAATCTTCAGCAGAATGCCCGATGAAAACAATTACGCAATTACGTTTTAGTTGTATACGATTCAATTTAGCTATGCCAGCTAAGAAGAGCTAGATTGATTTTCTAGCTAATGTGTCAGGAGCATTGTATGCCATGTAGTTATACAATATACAAAATTTGGCCTGAAGATTTACTCAAGCTGTACCAAAAACCTGCCTACCTACCTATCTATCTGTCCTATCCTATCCTATCCTATTCTATCCTCTGATCTTTCTATCTATAGCTATCTATATCTTATCTTATCGCTTATCTTACCTAATCCTATATTATCTTCTAGTTAATCTTAGATTATCGTTTATTTTATATACTTTTTTATCTCTCTTATTTTCTATGTCATATTTTATCTTATCCATCTACCTCTATCTATTCTGATTCTATCGATCCTAAACGTATCTATCGTGGTCCAACGCTGTGCCTGTGCTGCTGCTAACGATGACGGCGTTCATGGCGATATTGTGCAGGTGAGGCATATAACTCAAAAGGTAGCAGAAAAGGCCCGACGGATTGAAGAACGGCGACGCGATGTGGACGAAAGGCTGAGTGTGCAAGAACCTATTGAACGCGAAGAGATTCCACTGGTCGAGCGGGTGTCTGAGGGTCGATACTTGATTGGAGGACGCATCTACTTTGTCAGGGTGAGAATAAATTTTTGGCATTACATTTGTACAGTTTGCTAAAGATTTTACTGGGCAGAAGGAAAAATTAGAAAGCGATTATCATGGGGCGTCTAAAATGGACTTTTTTCATTGTTAAAACTATTGCGAAAGACTTTTTCGTTTGACCAATATAATTACCAGTTGAGTTTCTATTCAGAGCTTACACCACTGACCAATTATTTTTAACAAATTCCTCGATAAATCGAAAAGGAGCTTCTTTAATAGATGTACGCCAAGCGATTTTGGTAGGCTTAAACTCTCAAAAGCGTTGCTCAGATACACAACGCTCATGAAATTCCGGCGAAATTTAATTCAGGACTGATGGCAGGCCAAGAGCTTTAAAAATGTAAAAATTTAGAATGACTTGATTGTTTAAAAAGTGTGCAAAGTCACGTAAAGTTTCAAGAAGACTGATTGTTAAAGTTTATCCGGACGATCGAATTGAAAATTAATTAGCCGTTTTTATATTGAACACCGAAGTGTATTGAAACTGGCTTTTGAGCCATTTTGATGAGTTTTCATGCCTTCCAAATGTAAGTCCTATTGAAGATCTCTTGGTGGACACCATGAAAGTGTTTATCGGATGTTTTTTTTTATAGGCCGCACGAAGAGGAACGATTTCGGGCTAAATGAAGTTTTCAATTCTGGTAGGTGTTGATCTTAGCGCGGGAAGATTAAACAACACCTGATTTTTGTCCGAGTTCCGAAAATAATGCGCTATTATCTTCCATGATGAGTTTTTGTTTTTTAGAGCACTGGTTTGCGGCAGTATTACTACCTGGTGCAATGAATCGGCGTATGCCTGTGACGATAAACAGCTTCAAACACGTTAGCCTTCATATACAAAAACGAACTAACAGCAATCCACTATCGTACGGTCTATCGAATGGTAAAGCTGAGCTAAGCTAATTTAAAGTACTGGATTTGTTTCATCATTACTGATAGCTCTTGAAAGAGAAGCATGTAATGATTCGTGTGGGCGGTGGCTGGGATACTTTGGAACACTTCCTTAGTCGGCACGATACAATGAACGTAGTCTACATGAAGCGAAACACCCGTTCAAAGTCATTTCAGAACGCGGCTGCTATCTACGAGGGAAGCTGCAGCATGCCGCTAAAGGTACTTTGCTTCGATATTATCCACTGTTTTGTTTGCCCAGCTCGAATCACATAAACTCTATAGTTTCGTTATTTGCCTTTCGTTTAATCATTATTAATAATTATGTTTTTTATTTAATTCATCATTATATTTATTTCATCATTTATTATTATATTAATGGTACTTACTACGGATAAAGTGAGTGATGTTTGAATTCGGCGGCCATATCTTGAACGTCCGATTTTTACGTCCAGTCAATATGAGCTATTGCGATTTACGCACCAATGGTTCGTACCCATATTCTCTGTTCGTATATGTTACTGTCATTTTAAACTTGCTTTGTTACATTCTTTTCAAATGTCTGATTTTAGAGTAACCAATTCGAGTCCGACTGGAAGGAGTCGAACTGGAGCATAAACTCGCTTGGATCACAGGCCAGGTCGGACAAGAATGATCGAAGCCTTACTCCAAACCTGAAAGGTAGGTAAATGTACTCGTCTATGCTAGTTCCTCACTTTACTGTAGTAGATCACGACGGAAAAAATTCGCCGACTCCACACCTTGATTGCTCAGAGCATACATTGAATTATGGGCTGGAGAGAAAATAAAGCCAGTATCTGCAGATACGCCTTGCTTTCACTGGATTCATACATACCAACCTAGACGACTAATCTAATCGACGCTTCCCTCATGTTGGTCTCATAGGTGAATCCCGTCCACGGTATCGCAGCGCGCATTCTGCGCCTCTACAGCGTACACAACCATTCTTAGCTCAAGCGACGTCCTGCCGCTCTAGTGCCATTTGTCTTTTCGACACCAAATGAGCTTCACTGAACACTTCATCCATCTACCGAGCACCGGGTCCATCCCTCAGTGAAGAGGCAAGTACGAAAGTGAAGGTCGCGGCCCGGTGTAGTGGGCTGGTTTGGTCGCGCTCAGCAAATGTAATAAGCTCGTATTGCTGGCATCCTACTTCATCGGCTTACGGCGAATTACTGCGGCCCGCTGATGCCTGCCAGCAAGCCGTTGTTGCAGTTTGTTTCGACCTGATTGCCTCGTAACGTTATGGTGGCCGTGTCCAGCACAAGCTATTATCCACTCTTCGGACACAGTGCGTCAACTTTCTCGTTGGTCTCTCTATTTAGTAGAAAAGGTATTCGCTAATGACGCGGACGCGTGTCTTCTGACCGCTATATTTTGGCTGTCTATAGCGTCGTCTTCGAGCAGACATCAGCGTCAGCGTCACCCCTGAGGCTCTGTTGTACTGTAAAGAAAACTGCACCACGGGGTTCTTGCACCCACCGCTTACGGCTAGATGTAGAGATTGAATCCTAATAGACTGTAGTGAAAATTGCGTGTCTGACACGATCGACGGACACGAATGGCTTCCCAAGTGTGACTGCGTGCTTTTTATTTGGACAAAGTTAATTATTCGAAAAGATGTGAAGTCTAGATGTCTACTTATTTCCGCAACCGTCCGTTACACATGCACGTATGTGTGTGTGCGCGTGCGTGTGTACAATTACTTCGAAAATTAAATACCGTACATCGCTCCCTCAGTCCCGTGTCATCGACGGAGATTTCAGCGGCACTTTTTATCGCTAGTTATGGCGGCTTTAGCTGATCCCCAAACGACTGTGTTCGCCGGCCATTAGAGATAGATATGCACATATGGGAAATATCCATTTTCTCTCCCGATTCGTTGTTGAAACAAACGAATAGTACCTAACCTAAACTTTATTATAATATTTCGGTAGAAAATATGCATGGGATCGTCTCGCAAAGAGCAAGCCATACTCAGAGACTAGCGTCCCAATTAATGATAAATTATTTCTGTGATTTTGAGCTCTCCCGAATAATATTGGTAATACCTGCTGTTTACTATGAGTGGCTGTGGCTGGTCACAGACACGATCGAAATGTGTATATATATACACACACACACACGCACTATATCTATTTTCTCTGCTACAGGCGATCGTAGTGGCGAGGCTGAAAACAACCTCAAAAATAAGCATCAATCCTGTACATTACTCTGCTGCCTGCTTGAATGTTTAGGTCGAAGTAATATATAGATATATACATATATATTGAACGTAGGCGACCCCGAGAATCAATAAGTGACACTGGGAAATGTTGTTACAGTTCTGGTAATCTTCGGCGAAAAAGTGGAAATCGTCTGAAATTTTTGTTATACTAGAGGTTGGACTCGGAAGTGTGGCCAATTATTGAAATACCTATTGCCGTTATGATGATCGCGCTCATGAGATGTTTGAGCCTATTTGGTTTATGAAGGAGGCCAAAAAGCAAGAGATGCAAATAATGTTGTGGGTGTCTGCATCATCAATACTAATCAAGCAAGTGACAAATAAATATGAAAACTAGGCGAGTTGTCGCGGCCTAGCAGGTAACGTCTTCGTTTCTTACCATGACGACCATGGTGGTAATAACGGTCACAGTGGTAAGATTGAAAATAATAGTGATGGATATTACAGACAAGCAACAACCCTGTACATTACTCTGCTGCCGCCTTGAATGTTTGAATTGAAGTAACTTTCCAAGTGTTACCTTAAATTGAAGCTAATAAACAATTTATCGCAGTTAATCTTCTCCTTTTTTTTTTTTTTTTTACTGTTTATACACTACATACTTTGTGGTATCACTATTTGCTGGATTTGATAAATCGAATAGTGTACGTAAATTTATCGTAAACAAGCAAAATAGAGGGACATTGAAGTCGCAAGTGGCTACAGATTGAGACTGGGTGCATAGAAAAGCAGTGTTACATGATCAAGGAGATACGTTAAACGGTCACTCCGATACGTATGCACAAGGGAGTAATAGCTGCAGTCTGAGAACAGGTTTAATAAGGAACAGACCTACGTGGGCAGCTAGATTTATGAGTCTTAAAAATCGCATGTGAGCGTCTTTGTACATACAAAATGCGCAATTGCGTGCATCAGTTAAAAATGTATTGTTCTTCTAAAAGACTTAATTTTCAGACCGAATGGCTCCTGTACCGTAGAGATAATTCAAATAGTGGCTTTAAATATCTTCATTTATCTTTTTTATACACTAACTTTTCAATAAATTTATTGTAAACGAAGCTGAAACTCTAAATCCGACCCTGTTTCTTTTCGTTTTAGGCTTTATTCACACAACTGCCACTTATATTTTTCGTGAGAACGATTGACCAACTTCGTGTAATCACAATATATAAAGAAACAATTTTCGAGACGGCGTTTGGTCTGACACGACTTCTTGCGCCATGCTGCAGATCGATTCCCATCCGCTATTCCGTAAACTTTTAAAAATCATTCTTTGAACGATACAACCTTCTTGGAATAAACTGCTACAAAATTAGTATCTAGCTTATAAGCTGCACTTACAATATTGTCCAAATGAAATACACAGGACCTCGGCTACACGAGGAGTGAGTCTAAAAAGCTTGACACTTTTCCCCGTTGTGTCAACTTATGACGATGGACAAGAATTTTGTTGACAAATTTTTATTAAACTCCAGCAATTCTTCTGTGTCCCATGTGGCCGAAACTATCAAGGCTCGAAGTATTCCGAACACCCCGTACAACTTAAACATTGATGTTCGAAGCCTTCAGAGCGACGGGGCGTCCTATTTAACGGGGTTTCACCGTAGCAAGAGTCGTATCATAAAAAATTGTCCCGAAGTGCGCAATATTCGGTAGTAACTGTAATGAGGAGTTGTTTATCGTAGTTTTGTCCTCCAAGACTGTTTGTTATGAAATAACAGAAACTGAATATTTTCTGATGCGGATTATCTGTGCCCTTTAATTTACTTTAGAGAATACTTTCAGTGAATTCGTTCGTGAACGTCCACTGTCCGAATAGTGAGTCACCGGGGAAACAGCGAAGATCTCCAAAGATGCTGGAAATGACAGAAACGATCTAAAGATATACACTTCTTCTATTATATTTTCACCATGACTCCCAAGTCACGAGTCAAAGATTATATATGTGTTATATAAGAGTTACGTAATGTCTTTCTCGCAGTTTCCAGTCTAATGCACTTGTTAAGAAACTTGTATGAATCTACGTCCTAATAGCTTCCGCGGGCTATGAGAAACTATTCACGATACGGATTTTTCATACCCTGAACAGTCTGCCGTTCACACACACGGCACGCCGTGAGCGTATGGACCTAATTTAAATGGTTGTTTGCTCTGACATCTCAAGTTTTATACTGCGAAGTTTGTATAGACATAACCTGTTCTTTAGATAATCCATGCGCAGCTTAATAACATCATATTGCATCTCCGATAAGCATTTTTGATTTATTTTCTCATTAGCTTGCATGAACCCTATCGTGTTTGTTTGTAAGTTGTGTCCATCATGTATATATATATATATATATATCAAATGACCATCAATCTTTATTTCTCTGTCATCTAATCTGTGGTTCATAAGTGTAACACGGATCCTCGTTAACGATCTTTTCCTGTCGTACCTTCTTTTTTGCACTGATCTGCTTTTTTTCCCTTTCGGTTCAAATGTTCTCTAGAATGAGTCATGAAGTTGAAATTGTTCCATGCGATGTTTTCGTTTCTCCATTTACATGTTAGCTCTTTTATTTATGCTCCTCCATATATCGTCATCACTCAATCACGCTATTTGATGACCCAGTTCTCAGCAACCTAGTAATATACAATGTATCGGTCCCCGGCCATTTTCTGTTCCTCAGTTATATCATAGAAGATATCATCGTGGGGCATAGTATAGGGATCAATTGGTCAGTTCGAAGCCGTTCATATCGCGCAGATTGGCACCCAGAGTGATTCTCAATTTATGCTTACATGAAAAGAGCGTCATAATAAGAAAAAGGCCACAATTGTCTGTCACCATCGGCTTCGGCATCGGTTTTTACGATGACGGCGTGTTTTTCTGGCCGCCGCGTCTACCCAATTCGAGGCAAGCCGTTCCGATCATGTGCCAGTATTAACCTACTTCATTGTCATCAGACATCCTCATACGTGATAATTTCGAGCTGTCAGCTTGACTGGCATCAATTGTTATCATATCCAAGTATTTCACTGAAAGATTGCTTTATTATTACTATGATAGTTCTTTCAAGACATCCACATGGCAGTGCTTTTACTCTATGTCGGCTGGGCAGTAACCATAGGGCCCACGACGCCTCACCTAAATGCACTTGAGGCATCTGAACCTATTGCATCTTTGGCGAAAATTTACGATGGACGCTAACGACCAAATTGTACAATAAATTGATATAATAAGGTTCGCCTATAGAGCAAATTCTGATATCGTATTTTGACGCTGTTGGGCTTCATAGATAGATAGATAGATAGATAGATGGAGAATGGGGCATATTATCAATACAAACGTTTATGCCTTTGGGAATACGAATAGCGGTAACGTTTTTCGCATTGCATAGAATCATGATCATTCAGATAATAAATTCAAAAACGCATATCATTTAACGGATTTCGGTCAACAAGAATTAATTAAGATACTCGCAGCAAACGTTGGATGATTTTTCTCTAGCGGGACTTTTCACACCTTTGTACAAACATAAACCGATCACTAATACTTGACTGCAGTGATCGTCGAATATCCTTACGTGTGTTTGTAATTGTTAAGGATTGGCTTCAATGGATACCATTCATATGTCATTCCTCCGCTGTTCTCAGTGAAGTGGGGTGAATCGCTTGGTCGATGCTGCGAAAGCGTTCCTTGACGAGGTCGCATACGTGGTCTTGAGATCGAGGATGACCCCGTTAAGATCAAAACCAATCTTTTTAACTGTTTTTCTGTTGCATGCAGGCATCTGATAGCAAATGTTCTAACCTTCTGCCTAGTAAATTGATAGTGATAGGGTATGCAGCAGCAGCAGCAGCATATATACACAGGAACAGCGGATTCAAGGTATAAAGCTCGTAAGAAAATTAGATGGGTAAGTAAGACGTGTAGCGCGTTTAACAAGGTGGTTGTTGGATTGGACTAGACAATATATAGATAGATATATAGATATATATACGAGGAACGTGGCGTAGAACCTTCAAGTGACTACGCAGTATGTGACTCTGGCTAGGGCAGGATAGGATGTCTTTTACTACTCATATATTATTCAGCTTATTGTTATCTCATATGAATGTGCTTGTATGTGTGTGCGTTAATATATGGACATTTTTAGTGAGTCTGGTCATAGGTGCCTTCCTCCTTGTAGCCGGAAACATAGCCGGAGTCCTTTGGCGGGTCCACTCGACCTTCCTTCCCCTGAAATCGCCAAGACGAATGTATATAATGTCATATATATATATATATATATATATATATATCGCATATAATGTAATAATAGTGAAGTCCTGTAAGGTGAGCCTATACACAGTATTCTGAACACTTATATTAATAATTATATAGCAACCGAGCGACTATCGCTATTCTATCTGTGCGGTAGTGACATGTACCCCCCGTGCATTCGCGGCCGGTGACGCTTCTTAAGAATACCCAGACTCAATAACTTGTTTATTTTTGGCAAATGATCCGCACTAAATATATACATCAGACGCTACGCCGCACCATTTTCGTGTTGAACCTAGTTCAGAACTACTCAGCGTGAACTTAATTTCTGAGCCAAATCTTACCACAGTTTTGCCTTTCACGTCGTTGCACTATCCCTGTTATTTTGTTAGGCTTATTTATGCTGTCTCATTATATTTTACTCGTTTTAATTCTTTTTAGTATCCATGCTTCCCTGCATTGTTCGAGTCGCTGTTAGTTATACTGCTATTCAATTAAGTTAGCCTGTTTTCTTATCGGAAATGTTGGGGTACAAATCGAAATTTTGACTCAAAGCTGCCATATTATCTGTGTGTTATGGTCTTCCCGTCACCCCCACAGCAAATGTCCCATATCCTGCGTCTCAGTCATTTCATGTTCACCTTGCAGTACCGATATTGCTATAAAACCCTATCTCTAAGGAAAATCCGCTAGTAGCTAAAATTACGGATCGCTTGAGAAAATCAAGCGGGTTAGCAATGAGAGGCGTCATCGTACACTAACATTCATAAGCGATTTATCGAGAAAACACATAATTGATTCGGTGACACAAGATGAAAGATAAAAATTCTTATACATCCGTGTGTTTTACTGCTATAGTGTACAACTCGATACAAAACGTAGATTATCACTAGTTTTTAGCCGTTATCTATCGAACTGCTCTCGAAGAAACCTATCGACGCCCAGTTTCCTGCACTTGTTAGCTCCGCACCGCAATGTTTTAACAAGGCTTAACCTATATTATTCCCTAGTTAAGCCACGTTTACGAGTAGACAAACCTTAAAATGGTCTATACATTTATGCGTACTCCTACAAGTTTGCCAGTATCAGATTGAATGCTCTAATTCGGTACTGGTGTCTAGTACGAATGACCTACCAGCAACAAACGCAACGCATGAAACGAAGCTTTAGTATACAATAACATTTCATAGTTGTGATTGTTCGTTCACAAGAAATTATCCAAAAGCTGGGTTAATTCACCTTGCCTTTACCAGAGTCATCAAAGCGCTGTTTGTGGGTTCCGGTATATTTCGTATGATCCGTTAAGCGAGCCACAGCTCCCGTTGCGGTTGCGCTCTGTAAACGTGGAAAATTTACAGTTTTCAATGCTGCTCAACATCTCACATATCATAACCGTTTAAAGGAATAGTTGACTTATAATAAATTCATTGGAACGTAAAATACGTTCAAGGTGGCGTACGATGCATTTCTGGATATAGAGAATCAATGCATACAAATACATAATTTTATTGTTATTGTTGTTGCTAGTAGCTTGCTCACATGATTCAATAAGCTATTTTTATCTAGTACTTATATGCGAAAGCTTATACAACAATGGATCGATCTTATCTGGTTAGATACATTGCACGCATTGGCATCCGATCGGTTTACAGAAAAGTCCACGAGCGTTTATTTGTATACATTACATTTATCGCTTCCGTATAGTTTATGTCCTTTAAGTACGACGCCTAACGCAATAAACGACATTTTCCGTTGATGATGAGTTGACGTCATAAAATAACTGCACCAAATACTACAACGATAATTAGTTCTCTGCATGATCCACTTTTGTTGCGGTCGCCCTATTTACTGCAATCATTCTGTAATAAAAAGAGTCCTAATTGTACGCATATATAGTTAGGGCTGTCCTCGATTTTACTCAGGAAAGAAGTCCAACTCCCCAACAGGCCCAAGGTGTCCCGTGCCAAATGGCGCCTGTAAACGACGTTCTTGTCCTTAGCTCTGTGTTGTTGTTGTTGCCGTCGTTGGCTTCACTCAGGCTTCCGGTACCCCACAGCCATCGCAGTGCCAACGGTCATCATCAAGGCTGTATCCGGGTCTGAATCAACCCTGCTGACATGCAAGCGCCAATGAGCAAATAGTCTCGTGGTAATAGCAGCCCCTGCTCATTCTACTTCTCTAGAACTCCTTGCCCATACAACTACTTTTACCCTTTCTTTTCACTTTTTTTCTCTTTCCTCTTACTGCGATAGCTTCAGCGCGACCTCAGCTTTTCTACGCGACGCTACCGCTATTCGTTCTGCTATCGCTGCTAGCCGGAATATTCTAGCGTGGAACATTCATGACCTGTACTGTTTCTTCCTGCCCGACAACCCGTAACTATATTTCGCTTGCGTACGTTGTATAGTTGCAGCAACAGCAGCGGCGACAGTTATTGCTTGTCTCACGCTATGACGAGACGAGCCGACGTCGGCCGCTGGCCCAGCCACGCCCCCAAAATTGGGTCACTTTCACGCTTATCCTAAACAGAGGACGCGATCGCTAGCGCTGCCGTAACCTTGACGCACTTCTTGTCTGAGTCTACGAAAGCAGGGTCTATAAGAGGGGGTCAGTTAAACGGGCCGCCAGCATTGCTACTGTGAATAGTAGCGGTGGAAAAGAAGAGCCCTTTGATAATTATACGGTTTTAATGGCCACACGAGGTACCCGGTACCAAACGATACCTGATAGCAATGTTCCAGAGTACAGTAGAATGTACCGTAGTGATACGTTTAATTTTCAAACTATGTTGCTTCTTTTTTCTATATTTACGTGTATTCTACAAAAGTGCACAGTAAACCACTGTGCTAATATTGTTTCTAGTATGGTTTAGATTATGTTGAACAGATGGCTTACAGAATTATTATGGAAGGATATTATGGATAGGTTTCTGCTAGATATTAATCACTGCTTCCGTAGGGAAGCGCTTTCATTGGAGCTGCATAAGCTGCCGCTTATAGTCATATCCGGAATCAGTTACCCACTATATTAGATACGATACCGACGAAACGTACTCGCAGCGGTCTGATTCAGCTGTTTACGGCAGCAGTAACGGCAGCTCCGTGACTGCCAATCCAGAACTTTTACGAATCGACCATGCTTAAAGGTACCAGGGCATATGGATGTTTTGATGCCAGCAGTCGCCAACCTATTCGTTCTACGTATGAGCATAGCGTAATTGCACGCACGCTTCTAAACGCTGCCAATGTATCCATCGTTTCAGCATCATCCGTTTGGCCAAGGGACGAAATGCTTCCTCCATTATATACCGATTTCGTCGAAGTCGTCATTGTAGCCGCACACTGCTACAACATTTTTGTATATCTATGGACAAGTGCTATACAATATGTTCAAAAAGTTACATATGTTCCTGTTTAACAGCAGCATTTATATGGATTCTCAGTCCTTACTTTCGTTGATAGTAAAGGAAAACAATTAAAAGAAGCAAAGTCGTAACTGGCCTGCATCGCAAGTGACATAATACGATAGTTTAGCAAAGTCGATCAGACCAGCAATAGCACCACTAGATAGTATAGATATCATTATTTGCTATGTAGGCGAGCTACAGACGTCGTAGTTTTCATTGAGGAAGTATTCGATGTAAATTCGGTCCATTTTGGCGTGCGTTGTAGTAAGAGCTCAGTATAGGGCCAGACACTTAACATTTATAGACATAGATGTTACTTGTCCCGTACTCATATGCTCCTGCATATAGAAACGTCAGCTCCAGTAAACAGAAGTTCGCCGCAATAAATTCAGCTTGAAAAAATAGGTACTCGTTAAAGTTATCAGCCTAACGTTGCTCCACAAATGAGTGGTTAACTAACCTGAATCCTCGTTGCTGGGGCTCCACATGCGCATAGTTTCTGCTTAATGTCCTCCAGTGGGACCTTTTTATTCTTAGCAATCTCTTCGAGGAACTGCTCGTATTCTTTTTGACTAAGCGCCTTCTTTGTCCTGAAACATGAAATAAAATTCGGTTACGCATTTCGGTTACACAGAAATGATAGGGGTCTTGCCCAGATGATTAGACATATACACAGATACGCGATGACTTCGATATACATGATAACAATAATAATTATAGTAACCGTAAATGATAGTCAACAAATATATTTCAGTAATGTCGCGTACCTCGCTTGATCCCTATTTCACTTTTTTCAGTAGAAGAAAAGAAACTGAAAAGTACACCATCTAGACGCATTAATCGTTAAATCTCTGGCGAAGAACGGCCGTTAGGTCGTACTCTATTTTCAGCTTGTGTATTACACACTGCGTGCCGTGACATATGCTGACAAGTATATGTTCGTATAGCGTGAAAACCTTTGCCGCGACGCCGCTGCGTCAAACCATAGCCTGATCCATTTGCCGCAACGATAGACTTTGGCTGCCACGAAAGTCTTCCATGAGAACTTCTGCTTGAACACGGTCAAACATCAATTTTGTCAGACTAGTTAACAGAAAGCTCACATGAGACGTGATGTATCGATGCCCTTTGGGATGATACTTATATGAGCGTTGGCCCAGTACAGCTAAACCATCCTTTAGACACAATGAAATACCGTGCTTTCTTTCTTATAGATCAATTCGCGCAGTCTTTCTAGCACAAGCTTTCTTTCTCCTATTTCCAAAAATCCGTTTGTTGTTGCCATTGGGTAACAAAACCACCAGAAGCCAACAGAAAACTGCTCTAGCAGCCCAAAACAAAAATATACGATTTCTACATTGATCCAAAGTTTGCCTGTCGTCATTAAGCGCTGCGCTGTTCCTAGGCATAGCAAATGTCCAGTGAAGGAACAAAAGTTATTGACCAACAACCTGATCGACAGACGAGGCCACCTTCTACCCTTTGCTGTTTCTGCTCTAGAAACGCGAGTCCACCTTTTTGCTGCCGCTTTCTGTCCATTTCTTAGCTCATGACTATGCTTAGGAAATAGGCTTACACATACAAACATTGATGTCGGTGTGCTTTGTTCAGCAGAGGATCATATAGGTTTATCGTTATCGAGCTTTCGCCGTCATGAAACGTATATTCATGACGGAAAAGAACTCGCGCACTCTTGACATAAGCCGTTTCTTGTATCATCTATTGTCATCGACCACCCAGTTGCGGCTGGCTTACTAAGATAGGTTGGCAGGCATCAAACAATTCTTTATATACTGATGTGGACTGTATTTACCGATAATTTATGATTCAATTAATACTTGCTATACGCACATACATAAATACACAGAGTGGGGCAAACGTCCCTTAACAATTTTAGGACGTTCATCTTACACTTGTTATTTCGGTAAAAGTAATTTTAGGTTGTGTTTATTTGTGTACTTCAACGCTATAACTAGCTTCCAAACTGATGAGAGACTCTGGATAAATAGATATACCAACGAGACAAAGTGAGACTGAAATTTTCATTGCTGAGTGGATCTAATAGTTAAGTAAGCCACTCTAACCAGGTCGTGAGATTCGTTCTTTGCCACCTGTAAAGACCATGCCAACCGTATTTTCGTACTGCTGGGGCAAAATAACCGTTGAAAAAGACTTGACTTTCTAACCATCCACTCTACCAAATGTACCTTAACCCAGCTTCGAATTCATGTATATAACCTAGAAGGTTGACCGTATGTTTGGAAAAGGTTACCAGGTGTTTTTTTTCTCTATATTATATTAAAGCTTATACAAAAGCTAAAGTTTAAAAAATTAAAAAACTGCACGGTTGATACTTTTACAACTTCGATCGACTTTATCTTATGAGAAAAAGAAACTAAACCAAAAACATCATTTGACTTCCCAATAATAATAACAATTAGTGACATTCTCTGCAACGCGTGAGTGACCTTAATTCGGTCTATTCTCTAAAAAAGCTACAAGGTTTAGTATCTGCTTTCGGGGCAGCATTACTATGGTAGCCTGCAGCGGGTGAATCTTCAGAGACAACAATTAAGTTGACCAATGATGAGGTCGCCTTTTCCTCGCTTCTTTTTAAGCATTGAACGCTATCTGATGGTAGCACTGGCGCTATACAGCTATTAATATAGATATGGCAGTGTTCCACAACTGCTATGAATCAATAGAACGCTAACAAATGGCAACAATTAGGAACGAAAAAGTGCCCTAAGGACAAGGTAAGGACGACAAGGTCGGTAAATGTTTTCATTTTTGTTTGGGAGGGACAGACGCTAGCAAGATGTAGTTACCGTATGTTTTGATTTCACACGTCTCAAGTTTAGCAGGCAAACATATTACGACAGCGCCATTACGAGGAAAACCAGTTATTGGGCTTTAATCGTCCAAACGAATTACCTCTTATACCACTCCGTTGGCTACCAATAAGGTTTATTGGGCTTTCTGACCACGATGAGATTATACAGTTAAGGGATTTTCCGCTTGTCGAATATTAGTACTAGGAAGCTACTTCTATTTATAACTAATAACCGATGTTAAATGAATATGACCATCATTCAATTCCTGCGATTTATCTGTGACACTATTAATAGGGCGAAACGGAAGGGAGGACATTTGGAATTGCATTGAAGTAGTTAGATCCCAAAGTGAAGAACATCGAGTTTAGCGCGTACGAGTCTCAGCTAACTAAATAGAATCAGAATGCATCCACATTCAAGAAAGCAGCTTTGAAGAGTGACGACGGTTTTTTCGTCTGTGTTGGCAACGTACTTGGCAATTTTTTTAAAATAGATGCCGGTGTCAACTGTGGTGACTTTTTTTCCATCAATAACCTTGCTTTGTTTGAACCATTTATCTGAGTTCGACAGCGTGATGGCCTCCCCTGCGGATTTCGAATCTCCGAACTTCGCGAATGCCTTGAACTGTTCTTGGAAGGAGGGAACTTCGCCCTCCGTCAGCGGAGAGCTGGAACGCGCTCCTGCCGATGCTGGCCGCACCTCGTCACTCATTGCTGAAATTATTTAGTCTGTGTTAGATACACTCATAAATATGGTGATTACGAAGATAATAACTGAAACTAAATATACCGATTTCAAAGCATTTCTACATTTTGTTGTCAACAAAAGATGCAAAGACAGAGCTAATTCATTAACTAATAATGAAGATGGTATTAATATTAAAAAACTCCGTAAAAGGGCGTCAGTTTTCCAGCGAAGAGATGAGTATAACCTACAAAGAAGAAATAGCTCGCTAAATTATTTGTCGAAAATATATCTATATATAGAAATAATCGAAAAATACCTATATATTCCATAAAGACGTTGGTTTTTCCCTGATACATACGTATTATGGAAGAAAACAAAACCCGATCTATTCGACAGCACTTATGGTGATTTCACATAGAACGCCATCTATCGTTGCATAAAACTTAATTTTTTTAATTAAAATTATTTTTTTTTAATTAACATTAATTTTTAAAAAAATATTAAAATAAAATTAAAAAAAAACCAGATGATTTGAGTTTTGGATTAAATGGCTAATATCATTGTAAGAAACACTTTTTTCATGGTTGAATTTTCATCATCGTTTCCATGGAAAGTCCTCGGTACCGCTATTCCACACTGCATCAAGAACCTTTAAAGGTCAGACATTTAATACAGGGACCAAGAACAAGAATCGATTTCTAGGCCAATTGTCTTCCTATTGCTGGGAATTTTCCTGCCCATATTCAGGCCTAGACCACTCTACTTCCGGCTGTTGAAAAAAAACGCATTATTTCAACACTATCGCGGCAATGGCGGGTATTATCCCGCTGTATATTACTCATTCGAATCTAAGCCGATTTAATTGATCACTGTTCAGGACTGCCCCCTTTCGCATCCAGATGTCGCCCAGCCTTACTAATAATTTGCTAATGATAAGTAAGACTGCTCTGAAACTTTATTTATGTTTCTGTTTTCAAATAAATTATCTTCTTATCATTCTATCTATAAATCTAATTACACCTTACAGGGTTTCGACGATCGCATCGTATGGCAGTTTGCCTTGCACCTGAAAAGGATACCATTTTCTATACTTTGGTTCGCTTCACAATAGACCCTGCGTCTGAACGGTATGGAGTCTAGAGCACCACTAGCGGCGCCTATTTTTCAGTCAGTTCCAGCACCATACTCTACGTAGAGGCTGACTAGTGTCGTCGTAAGTCCGCTTTTGTACCAGGGGCCACAGTTTGAAACCACTGCTCTACGGTTTAACACGGTATCTACCATGATCCAACCCTGAGTCTTGTGCGGTTAAGCTTGCCATTTAAAAGAAATAAAACACTTTGTCAACTTTATTTTGATTATACGAGGTTCCTCGTATTTCGTTCAATTCAGGAATATGTATTTCGTACGGCTCGAGCAAACATGACAAATAAATAGATAGCGGCAAACGTCTACGGATCTATATATACATATATATATATATTTTTTTTTATATCTATATATGTATATATTTTTTTTGTTTTTCATCTGCATGGCTGCATGGCTGTTTGACTACTTTTTTTAGTTAATTTATTGTTTTTTTGCAGATTAACTAGAAACAATTAACCAGCTCTTAGCTGAGCGACGTGTGCGAGCAGATGATCTGCTGACCTTAGGATTTCACTGAGAATCCAGTTCGTAGCGGTGAGCCAGGTTACAGATTCGTACATTAGCAACAACTTTTTCTGGCAGTTTCTACGAACAATTTATAGTTAGAAATTTAACCTTTTACATATTAAAAGCAATCCAGGTCTATGATCTTTTTGTCACTCATACAATTGACATATTGTCGTTAGATGGTGAAGAAATAGCCCCAACTCTATAGATAGAAGTATGCGTTAGTATTTGTTTAAAGCCTTAGGATAGTTCTTGAATTTGTACTAGTTTTCCCAGAGCTGAGTAATTCTTGAACCTCAGACAAGCCAATCTACAAAACATAATCTCAATCGCAATATATATAAACTGTATTCGTTGTACACGATAGGAGCCGATTGGAGAGGAAGCGATAGTGAATTTCCGCACCGTAGAAAGAGCACATCGAAGCGTAAATTTGTCGACATTATGCTCAACTGCCAACAACAATGAGATGCTTAATAATTTTTAATTTGCCCGATCAGTGTAATCGAAATGACCATCGTTTTATATTGTAGATAGTTGTTTGATTACTGGCAAAACAGCAAGATTGGGTTTCGAGGTTGCATTTTACGATTCCTGCTATTCCATTAATAGGAACGTCTCATTAGAAGCGCCTCATTTTCAAACCATTCCACAGGGACTCCCGCGCCAAAATGTTATTTCCTCCAAATACCATCTACTCTCGTAGTCTGGCCTCTGTGTCTCCAACAGGGATATAACAATACGAACCCATTTGATGCCAGCCTGTTTGGTTGGGTGAGGTAGTGTCGACCGCTATCATCGTCTCTAGTAGCTTTATCGACGCTATTGTTATGTGTGGACGTGCCACGACCGTACGAAGTGAAAGCACCGGCATCTAGCACACGTGTGCATAAATGGCCAATACTTAGATATATATATATGTAGGAAAGGCTAAATTCAACCGCGGCTACTACAAACCAAAATAGTAGTAATTATGCTATCGTTGTTTTTCTACGTCTTGTAATTTTTGCGTCGACACAGCTTTCCGGTATATAGAAACAAGGTGCAACAAGCTAGAAGAAGCATATGCTCGAAGAAGTGAAGTGAACAAACAGGTTCCGGTATTTTTAGGAATAATGTAAGTAGTTACAAGTAGAGAGACGTATCTAAAAGAGACCGCCACTTTCGTACAAGATCCACCCGCGGCCCCTTTCGTACCTGCTTCAACGGCTACAAAGCTGATGTACAAGATGAATATTGAGACGAGGGTAAACCGATCCGTACATGAGATCAGTCAATCCTGCACGCGTCCGAGATAATATGGGGCGGTCGAGGCTATCTAGTCGAGCAAGCTGTCTATGGACGCTGCAAAAGCCGCGGGGTAATAATCGCAGCTATAAAATGGCTGAGTTGTCATCGTTCACGAGAATAGACACGTTTATTTGCAGTCTTCATTCGCCACACGTTCAACAAGCACTTCCAGTCATAAGGCGTCTTCTATTATATTATTTATTGCAAAAAATAAAAACAATTAAGATAATGTAAATAGGGCAAAAGTCCTCGTCTGTTTTATCTATTTAGGATGAAATCTGCTTGTCGATTCGAACATCAATCAACGGCCGCTAGGGCGATCCACATCTGCCAGAGGATGGCTCAACTCCAAGGCGAAGTACATAAAAGGTATTTTGTCTGCAGCATGAAGTACAATAATGCCGCATAGTCTTCAACATCAGCAGCAGTCGTCTGTCGACGAATGTAATTTTGTCTGATTCCCCTTCACTGAACGAACCAGCCAATGCGAGGTACGGCAAGCTAGAGATATACTTAAACTGGGCTGCTTTCGGCAACATTGCTAAGTTTTACGTTTTTAACGTGCCAACGTTTTTACCGACAATTGCGTACGTAAGCACGTGAGTATACGTATATATAAAAAGCAGTGTTTTAATCAAGCGTACTTGAGACGTTTCAAATTTTTCACGGTTAGTTACGACATCGAACAGCCATCCACTCCGGACTACTGAAAATCTATCACTTAACATCGTGGGTACTGTTATATTAAACTTACTGTTTTCGCTCAGCTTAGTATATACGTTACAGAATAGCAGCTATATTGTGTTTCTATTGAATAGGAGTATGAGTGTGTATTGCTAGTTAACTACGGCGATCAATTTTTTGCCCTGCCCTACGCTATACAACTGGACAGTGGCAGTTTTCCTCACGAACAAACATGGAAAACTCATTTCTCGTGTCCATGAATAAAATGATAAACAGAATTTAATGATCTAAAATAAGTCAATCGCTCCTGGGTCATTTGAGAGGTAAGCCAGACTGTTGCATATCGACAGGGCTCGAAGCTTTAATGGACGGGCACATCGACCCACTGAATCATACAGTGTAGATCATTTCGCTACTAGGAGATTTACGTTGGTATAAATAGACGATGATCCGGAATCATTTTTTCCCGAGTAAGCGTTTTTATTATTAACGGCAGTATGTTTGCCCGATACGGGAGGAACTTGTTCGTTATATGTTAACAGGGCAATCCTGGTTAGAACAGATTAAAACGAACGTATAATTCTAACTAAACTCCTAAGCTATCTCCCCAAATCGTTCAACCTGTCGTAAATCATGGATCGAAGCATTGTTAGAACGAGCAGTATCGCTGACTTCCCGATACGATATACTTTTGAGAGCTCTTTCATAACGATATGGACGAATGACGTTCAACCGCTTGTGATTTGAAATCATATTTCTTCTTCGGAAAGTTTGAGAACAAATGTAGTATAGCTTATATACGGTACCATGATACTAAACACCTAAAAATGAGATGGGTTTCAATTTATACTTGCGAAGTGGGTTAAGGATCATGATGAGCTACTGCAAATGCAGGTCACTGACCATGGGCTGGCCCCTAATCTCAAACTATAAGTTACGAAACCATATATATAGGAATAGATCATTGACATGACGAATTGAGGAATATTTAGTCGACCTGCAACCTAACTATAGGAACGCACACAACTTCGTCCGTCTGAAACATACCATTAATGAATAAATAAAAAAAAGATGTCATTTCTAGGATCGAACGTCCATCCTATCAGGCTACCGGGAAGATATATTTCGTTTATATAGATGGCCAAACAGCAGAAGTAACTTGAAACGATGAAGATCTTTAAGTAACTTTCCATAGTCATCATCATTTTATTATTAATTATCAGCAGGTAAGCATCGAATCAACGCAATAGTGTTCTTCATTATATAGACGAAGCGTTCAACAGCTAAACCAATTACTATATAAAAGAGCAAAGTACGCGGATGCCCAAAGAGGACTTCTGTGGTGATAAACAAAAGATAGTGCAGCAAATAAAGAGAGCTACAGCTGCAACTGTAC